GGCTGAGGCCAGATTATGGAGGACCTTTAATATTAGAATTAGGACTTTGGACTTTATCTTGTAGACCATGGGGAACTGTTTTTGAGCAGAAAGGCAGCATGATCAAAGCAACATTTTTTGAAAAAAATCATCTTGTGGGAGTGTTCAAGTTAGATTGGATAGGGAGAGGATACTATCGTAATATTCATGTATGAGCAAATGGTGGAGTGGGTTAAGGTAGTGACAGGATTACTAAAGAGGAAGGAACAGATATGAAAGTCACTTAAGGTAAAATTGACAAGCTTCGTTGACTGGGTATAGGAGGATGAGGGAGATGGTGGAATTAAAGGTGATTTTGAAGTTTTGAATCTGGGTAACTGGAAGAGTGGTACTATTGATAGAAATGGAGAAGATGAAGTAGAGAATTCATTTTGGGAGGAAATGACAAGTTCATTTTTAAGAATTTTTAGTTTGAGGTGATAATGAGATAGCCAAGTGGAAGTGCCTAACTGTCAGATGGAAATTTAGGACTGAGACTTGGAAGGGAGATAAAGACTGGAGATTTGGAAGTCATTTATATAGAAGTGAAAATTGAACCTATGAAAGTGGCTGAGTTCTCTAAGAGAAAAGTGAGGTACAGGAGAAAAATTATTTATTGTTATGCTAATGTGTGGGTAGCACTGGGATGATATTGACTAGAAAGGCAATTCAACCTACACCATCCATTTACTCTTTCCAGTCCATCCTTCACACTCCTGCCAAAGTGATAGTCTTAAAGCCAGGTATGAGTATGTGACTTATCTAAAAGCTCCAGTGGTTCCTTATTACTTATAGGGAAAAAAAATCCAACTTCTTTGTTTGGCATTTAAAGACCTCTACAATTTGGCCTTAGCCTACCTTTTGAGTCTTATTACACATTATCTCCTTTCATAATTTGAGAATTCACCAAACTAAGCCACTTGCTATCCTCATGCATAGCATTCCTCTGATTCAGGGGAAGAGGCCATTTGCTTTAAATACTGTTATTGTTTATGGATAGTTCTGGTTTCATAGATGAGGATTGTAACCAAAAGGAAGTCAGACATACAAGTAAATCCTAACCTTGATTGAAAAATGGACAAACTAGGACTGCCTCAAAGCCAAAGATAAAGCATTAGGGGATGCCAGTAGTGGTGAGGCAAGGAAGAGGATCTATAGAAGAAGAAGAAGGAGAAAAAAAATCATCATACAGGTAGGGAAGCAATGGGGTTAATATAGGACTATAATAGCTTGTGGAAAGGATGGAGAGAAAGGCCTAGATGAAAATATAGCCAGGGTGATTCCAAACTGTTCAAATGATGAATCTTGAAGATCCATTGACCAGGAGGGAAGTCTCTAGTGAAATGTCCATAGATCTGTCCTTACTCTCATGCTGTTTAGCCTTTTTAAATTAATGACTTAGAAGAAGGTGTAGACGGCATGTTAATCAAATTTGCTACTATCATGAACCAGAGGTGGATAGCTATCATGATGGACTATAGGCAGGTCCTATAAGGATTGTGACAAGTTAGAATAACAGGTCAAGTTTAAGAAGATAAAATTTAATATGTAAAATTAATTAATATGTAAAAAAAAGTAAAAAAATCTTGCACTTGGGTAAAAAAAAATATCAACTGCCTAAGAACAAAATCTTGGAGGTGGGGCTAGGCACTAACTGGTACACATGACAAGTCTTGGGAAGGTTAGTGGACTGCAAACACAACATGGGTCAACAATGTGACCTGGCAACCAAAAGAGGTAATATGAATTTAAATTGAATTTAATAGAAGCACAATGTCCAGAATGAGAGTGGCAATAGTCCTGTTGTGGCACTCTGACCTGACCAGAACATGGTCGAGTATTAGGTTTAGTTCCAGGTGAGACATTTTAGGAAATTTATTTACACACTGAAGCATATCTTAGGGATAATCATCATCATCATCATCATGTGGGAAAATTGGAAACCACGTCCTAAGAGGATCAGTTGATTGATCTGGATACATTTACCTAAAGAAGATATGGCTGAGTTGAGCCATGACAATTGTCTTATGGACATCTTATGGGCTATCTTGTGGAAGATTTATTCTGATTTGTCTCACAGGTGAGACTAGGAGCAGTGGGCAAAAATTGCAGAGAGAAAATTTTGTCTCAATAGAAGAAAAATCTCAATAATTAGAGGTACCAAAAAGTGAAATGAGCTTCCTCAAGAAGTAGTGAATTTGGGGCAGCTAGGTGGCACAGTGCATAGAGCTCTGGTCTTAGAGTCAGGAGGACCTGAATTCAAATGCGACCTCAGACACTAGACATTTACTAGCTGTGTGACCCTGAGCAGCTCACTTAACCCCAATTGCCTCACCAAAAAAAAAAAAAAAGAAGTAGTGATTTTTACAGCACTGGAGGTCTTGAAGCAGAGTACTGGGTAACCATTTGGGCATAGTTTAGAAGGAGTATCTGCTCAGGATGCCCTCTGAGGTTCCATTTTGAAATAATGATTCTATTCTCTAAATAATATATGAATGCTCTTAGAAAAGACTTTAAAATTATCCTCCAAAATATTTATTTGTAATATTTATTCTATTAGTTTGTAAGCTCCTTGAGGACAGGGACTGTTTTTTGCCTCTTTTTGTATCCCCAGTGCACAGCGCAGTGCCTGGCACATAGTATATGTTTAATAAATGTTTAGTGATTGATTTTTATAATGTTTTAATGTGACTTTCTAGAATAGACTGTTTAAAATCACAAAGTTTTAAATTCTGGATTCTGAAACATCTGAAACTATAGACATCTGGTACAGGACTCTGCTCCTGAAGTTGGTTCCGTCTGCTGATAGGTTAATTGCTGTTAATTAGCTTGCTAACCTTATCAAAGACAAGCATTAACATTTGCCTATTGACTCTGCTAAGTGCCTAGTTACTCCCTCAGCATCTTTCTGACAGATTTTCTGCATAGTACAAACAGAAAACTTCTGCTGTTAACCTTTATTCTGACCTTAACCTTCAAATTAACTGACAAAACAAACAAAACAACAACAACAACAACAACAACAAAGCTCAGAGTCAACATGGAAGTCGTATTCTTCTGCCACTTTCCCAACTCATGGCAGTGTCCTCTTATTGGAAGTAATTTGTCACAAATCTGTCTGTGTATCCCTTCTCATTCTTACCTCTCTTACTAAGAATAGAACACCTACAATTTACAATTCAGTCATTGCTGAATTTATGGGCACCCCACTTGTTTTGAGTCTTTTGCTATGACAAAAATGTTGCTATAAATGGATGATTTCTTTCTCTCTTTGTCTGTTTGACTCTCTGTCTCTCTCTGCTTCTCTCAAATCCCTTTGTGATGTAACCTAATAGTGGTATCGCTGGATCAAAAGGTATGCACAGTTAAGTGACTTTTTGGGTCACTAAAATAAAAAAAAAATTGTAATGAATTTAATGAACACTAAAAAAAAGATATATATGTATATACACATATATCAGAAAAGAAAGGATTGTATGTGAAACAGCAACTCTGTTGTAAATGTGCCTTGCTTTTTAAAAAAGTATGTAATAAATTTAATACAGTATTTTCAGTTATCTTGCTTGTCTGCTTCCTTATGTTTTCTTCTAGATGTTAAAAAAAATTGAGCCACTGACTTTCTTTTTTTCTTTCATTTTTCCTTTCTTCATCACTAAATCCCCGCTTTCCTCCTATGAATTAAAAAAGAAAACACAACTCTTGTAAGGGTAGTCAAGCAAAACAAATCTACACATTTGCTATGCCCCAAAATATATGCCTGCTCTGCACTTTTGGTCCCTAATCCACTGTTAGTAGGTTCTTTGTCACTAGTCCTCAGGAATCATAGTTGGTTTTGATCAAAGTTCTTAAGTGTTTCAAAGCTGTTCATTTTAAAAATGTTATTGGCGTCTCTGGCTCAAAAGTTACGCATAATTCAGTAAAATTTTGAGCATGGTTCCAAGCTATCTTCCAGAATGGTTAAAGCAAGTCACAGATCCACCAACAGTACGTTAATGTGTCTGTTCTTTCAATTGCTACGCCTGTAGCAATTGACATTTTCCTTTTTTTTGTCATTTTTGCCAACCTCAAGGTTGTGAGGTAGAATCTTAGTGTTGTTTTAGTTGGGATTATAAAATTATTAGTGATTTGCAGCATTTTCTTCAGACAATTTTTAATAATTTGTCTTTCTTTTGAGAACTGCCTGTTTGTAGCCTTTGAACATTTATGTGTCAGGTAATGGTTCATATATATGCATACACACATATGCATACATACATGCATACATGTACGTATGTGTTCTATGTGTGTTGTATGTATACATACATATAAATATATTATATATATGCGCACACATGTATATACACGGGCAGGTAGGTGTCACAGCAGATAGAGTACTGGACCTGAAGTCAAGAAGATTCATTTTTCCTACTTAAATCTAGCCTCAGATACTTACTAGCTGTATGACCCTGGGCAAGTCACTTAACCCATTTTGCCTCAGTTTCCTCATCTACAAAATAATCTGGAAAAAGGAAATGGGAAACCAATCCAGTATCTCTGTCAAGAAAACTCCAAATGGGGTCATGAAGAAGCAGACATGACTGAAAAATGATTGAACAAAAAAACTATATATACACATGTGCATATATTTATTTATTTTTATCCATTCTCTACATTTTGTAATATCAGAACTTTATCAGAGAAATGTATTGCAAAATTTTCTCATTTAAGTTTCCCTTTTAATTGCATTGATTTTTATGCAAAACCTTTTCAGGTTTGTGTGATCAAATTGTCCATTTCATTTCCTCTTTTGTTCCTACCCCCTCATTTTAGTAGTTCCCTTAAGTTTTAAAGAACTTTTTAATCCCTTAAACCTCTACCTATTTAGCTACAATTTTTATATTAATTATGATTCATGTTTTGATCTTACTATAATCTGTTTCTTCTTTTCTTATAAAGTATGCTTTGTAAGTACATTTTGCTTCATTTTCTTAACTATCTCCCAGCTCTTCTACCTGTTACAGTTGCCTTTGTTAAGAAATCACCAGTTCCTTATGCCAAGCTTATCAGCATCCATGGACCATCTTGCCAATGAAGGCAGCTTTAGAAGAATGTTTCCAGGTAGCTATGGGACCCAAGCTTTCAAATTCCAACCGAGGAGGGAGAGTGTGGATTGGAGGCGCTTAAGTGCTATCGATGTGGATCGGGTAGCTCAGGAGCTGGATGTGACCACCTTACAGGACCATATCACTGGGGTCACTTACTGCAATCTGGACTCAGAGAGATGTGCCTATTGCCAGCAGCCTGTGGACCCGGTGCTCCTCAAAGTTCTCAAGATGGCCCAGCTCATCATTGAGTATTTGTTACATTCCCAGGACTACTTGAGTGCCAATATAGTTTCTTTAGAGGAGAAACTCCAGTCTACCCTGGAGCAGCAGCAACAAACTGAACAGAAACTGGGCAAGCAGACAGAGGAACTGAAGGGAGTAAGGGAGGAGAGCCGGAGACGGAAGAAGATGCTCAGCATGCAGCAGCTACTGATACAGGCTGGGGCCAATAGCTATCACAAGGTGAGAAGTCAGAAATAGGATGAGGAAAGGCAAAATAGGTCAGTCCTAGGTTTCCAGAGTTGTTCATCTGGCTGTGTTGTGTGAAAAGCTAGAGAGGGTTTTGCATTTGTTTTATGAATGATAACTTGAATGTTTGGGCTGTGGAGGTGATTTTAGCATTTATAGGATCATAGGTCTAGAGCTGGAAGTGACCTCAAGATAATCTAGTCAAACCCCCTCATTCTACATATGAGGAAACTGAGGCCCAGGCAGGTTAAGGGATTTACTCAATATCATACAGGCAGTAAATACCAAAGGTTCTCTGATTCCAGAGCCAGTGAATGCTTTTTTTTCACTGTATCATGCTGAGTTCTTAAAGCTATGTTAGCAGAATGTAAGTATAGGTAGTTTCTACCAACCTGGAAGAATGTCTACCATGGCTGTTGCCTGAGAACCAGTTGTATACGAACAGGCTCATCACCAGCATGTTGGCAATGCCATTTTAGTCCAGGGCAACCTAGAAGAAAATGTAAGAATCCTCCCTTCATGCTCAAAGAACCCTTGTAGATTTTTTTTTTTTACCAATTTAGATTGCTGGAGTAGAGCAAGGTGTGGTATAGAGGTCAAAGTCAAGGCTATACTAGAGAAAAAAAAACCGCATCACTGGAAAATGGATGATAATTCATACAGCAAAGGAATGATTGGAGTGTGTGGTGTGTTTACTTCCAAGGGATAAAAGGATTCCCTAAGGAAATACTAGATTTGGGGTCAGAAGCCTTTCAGGTGCCAAGTTTCTGAACCTATTTTGTAATAAAAAAGAGAAAATGGATGAGGGGTAGTTGAGTTGGTAAGGATTATTAGGAAAAAACAAGAGACTAATTTGTATTAATGAGTTCTTCTAACCTTCTGGGAAGGTTAAGGATGCCAATTCAAGCCTTAGTGTGAATTATTTTAATAAAATAATGTAATTGGTGCAATTAATGAGTTAAAATACTTACCTCCTCACCATTAGCTAAGACTGGCAACACTGGGGTGGGGGGGTGGGGAGGAAAGAGTCATTTGGAGCTAGGGAGGGCAGCCATAAGTAGGGTAGGGAGATTTTGATTAACCAGAGGGCAGCCCTACATGACACAAGTCAGGCTGCAAAATAGGAGTGCAGAAAGGGAGGTGAGGGAGAGAAGAACAAATGTAAAGGGTCTATTTTTTAGTTATGTTGGTCTGTGCTGTAACACTAAAATCATATTGCCTTGACATATTGATCACTGTTTGTGGTATACAATTTAGCTCTGACACTGGGTATATACTCAGATGGTTTCTGTCACCACTTAACAAGGTATGACAATATACAATGGTAGGAGCCTTGAATTAAACACACACATAGTTTTATATGCTGTGAAAACTGTCAAAAGGTCCAACAAAATTTCACTTTCTTGTCTTTGACATGAGTACTACATTCTTGTCATCATTTCTATAAGGAGGTGGAACATAGATGTGCTCTCGGTCCTTTTGAGGGCATCAGGCATTTGACTTATAGATCACCCTCCAATCTGGTTGTCTACCAAATGGTTTAAGGTTAAAACTTTAAAGTTAAATCTACATAGTTCTCTTTTCTCAGAAATTTCAGAGAAGATATCTGTTTTTTTCCGAATTAGTTTTGTATTTGAAGTTATGTAGATCTTATTTATGGATTATTTGGACAGGTTTCACTCATCTATAGCTTTAAGGATGCTAATTGAAAAGATAGGATAAGGAATGTGTGTGTGTATGTGTGTGTGTGTGTGTGTGTGTGTGTGTGTGTGTGTGTGTGTGTGTGTAAGCTTGGAGGAATGATTTCTAGCCCTGACTTATCATCTCCACTTAGCTCAAGAAATATCAATAGATTTAGAGCTGGAAAAAGACTCACTCAGCTCAAAATCCTCTTTTTCTACATCAGGCTGAGAGAAGTTAAGATCACATGATTAGTAAGTAGCAGAGCTTACATTTGAATCAAGGTTATCTGACAGGCATACTTTCTACCATACCATGCTGGAACCCAAAACATTGTTAGATGGCACAAAGTAGAAGGCTTTGTCTTAATTGTTTATGTGTAGCAAAAAAAATTCAGACCTTTTCCATTCTTAATGAGAGAAGTGCTAACCTATATTCCAATTAGAAAATTCTTAAACTAATTTTAATTCACTTATACAGAGAATATTTTAATTTAATTTTAATTCATTTTAATTCTTCATCTGGAAGTTCCCTTTATCAATGAATTCACAGGTCCAGTCTCTATCCTTATCTCTCCATATATACCTATATATGTACATATTATATACACACATATATAATTGTATCCGAACATGTGTAATTGTATATACAGTCAATAAACATTTATTAAGCACCTACTATATGCCAGGTACTGTGTCAAGTGCTAGGGATACAAATATGAAAAAATAATGGTAGTCTCTGCCCTCAAGGAGCTTACAGTCTACAGGGTGGCAAGGTGGAAAAGTCAGAGTAGTCCCAATGTAATGCAGCCAGGTGAGAAATGAGAAGATGTCTGAGTGAAGCTCCCTGCTTGAGGAAGATTTTAGAATTTTATAGCTCCATCCTCAGATCAGAGGGACAGATGGTGATGAGGTAAGCTGATGAGATCTTCAGGAATGATAAAGTACACAAATATCTAATTGTATACACACACACACACACACACACACACACACATATATATGCATAGGATCATATATAATATATGGTTATATATGGTATACTATATACACATATATGTACTTGTATATACACAATTAAACCATTTTAGGAAAGGGGGAAGGTTGTGATGAAATTAAACAAATAATATTGGGGTACCACAATTCCGAGAAGGTTGGACGTTACTGATGTTCAATGTGGAAAAAGCAGGGCTGAGGTTAGGTGAAGAGATAGGGATAGCAGCACCACATTGCTTCAGCATTCTGTGCCAATACTGTACTATGGTCTGGTTCTAAGGAAGTTATAAAAAACTCTAATCTTGTCTTTCCACTTCCTTGGCATACCAAACCCAGCTTGTCCCTACCTGCCGCCATGCTCCCCTCCTCCCTATGTTCGGGACACAATCCTGAAGCTGGGGAGGAGGCTGGAACACCCGAGCAGTAACTGCAGGATCAGGAGGCCTCCTCAGTAGAACCAGTCACCAGACATTTGAGGCTCGAGGCAGTTGCTATCCCTTCCAGAAACTGCTAGATTGTTTTTGCTTTATCTTCTTTATATCCTTTATCAGCATTGGGAATAAAAAAGCATTTTTTTTTTTGTGAAAACCCTAGGCTCTACAATAGTAGAAATATCACTGGACATAGGCCCAGTAGAAATGTGGCCATTTAGTAACTGTGACTTTTAGAAAGTCCCTTGACTCAGTTTACTCATCTATAAAACAGGGATAATAAATCTAACCCTACCTCACCTGATAGTTATGAGAATAAAAAAAAGAAATGTACATGAAGTATGTTGTGACTATAAATATTTGTCATTATTTTATCATCTATTTTGATCTATTTCCTATTTTTTCATATGCAGTGCCATTTGTGTGACAAGGCTTTCATAAACAACTCTTATCTTCAAGGCCATATCCAGCGAAGACACATTGAGGTCAAGCAGTCTGGTGAGCAACGTTGATTGACCCTTTCAAAGCTTAGGCCTTAGTGTTGGAGGAGGGGAATAATACCTGACTTCAAAAGCTTATGCTCAAAGCCATGCAATATACACACAGTAAGAGTTTAAAGGCCATACTAAAATTACTTTATATGGTACTTTAAAGGACTGCAAGGTGCTTTCTTCTGCATCCCTGTGAGCTAGATAGTGTTATTATAATTCCCACTTTGTAGATGAAGAAACTGAGGCTCAGAGAAATTAAATGACCTGCCATGGCCAGGGGATACTGTTTAGTGTAGTGGAAAGAATACTAGATTAAGAGTTAGAGAATCTGAAATACTAGATTTAGAGTTAGTTCCCAACTCCACCACCTACAAGCTGTATGACCTTTGATGAGTCTCTTAGACTCTGCTTACCACCTGTGAAGATAATACTTGTCCTTGATACCAACGTTGTTGGGAGGAAAACAATTGTATAAATATGAGCTGCTAAGTGTCAGAGGCAGGCTTTACACCTGAGTGTCTTGAGTCTAAGTCCTGGTGCTCAAGATACAAGTAAGCATAAATGCACCAAGCACCTAGGATCAAATGAACAATGGAAGCAGGGTGGGAAGCTGAGCTCTTTTGAGCTCCTTGGATGACAGACTAATAACATTCTCCAGTTAGCAATTTCGTGGAATTCTGGGGCTACCTGTTGCCACGGCTATCAGTTTATAGGAAAGATGGGGTGGAGCCAGACTGTGAAGGGTTTTAAATGCCAAATAGAGGAATTTGTATTTTATCCAAAGGGAATGGGGAGCCGCTGAAGTTTCTTGAGTAGAATAGTGAGGTGGTCAGGTCTGTGCTTTAGGAATATCAGTTTTAAAGCTATGGGGAAGGAAGAAATGGAAGTAGGAGGACCAAATAGGAGGGTATTAAAATAGTCCAGGCAAGAAGTGATGAGGGCCTGGACTAAAGTGGTTGTGGCATCAATAGAAAATAATGGATAGTTGTAAGACATTTTGAGGAGATGAATTCAATAAGACTTGGCAACTTATGGTATTTGCACATAGAGGCAGTTGATGGTTCCAGTATAAAGTTCGGTTGGTGTCAAAAAGACCTGAGTTCACATCTGGCCTACAACATTTATTTTCTGTGTGATCTTGGGCAAGTCATTTAACCTGTTTGCCTCAGATTCTTCAACTGTAAAATGGGGATAATAATAGTTTCTACTTTGCAGGGTTGTTGTGAGGATCGAAGGAGATAATATTGGTAAGAGCTTAGCGCAGTGCCTGGCACCTAACAGGAATTATATAATTGCTTATTCCCTTCCCTTCCCTTTTGAATGGTAGGACAGAGTGAAAAGCTGAGGTTGATCCTGAGGTCTCAAGCTAATATGATTAGAAGGATGGTGAAGCCTTTGATAGAATTATGGAAATTCGAAGGAGGTATGTCTTGTTTTGGATTTGTTGTTATGCAGAGGAAATTGGCCAAAAGATAGTTGGTGACATAGGGTGATGATTCAGGAGACTGAAAAGTGTGAATCTGATAAGTAGGTAGAGGCCCACATTAACAATTTCGTGAAAACACAGGGAAGAGGTAGTAATCAGAAAGAGAAGGTGGTCAACTGTGACATACGTTGCAGAGAGGTCAAGAAGGATGAGGACTGAGAAGAGACCACTGGATTTAGCAATAAAAAAATAATTGGTAGCCTTGGAGAGGCTTTTTAGCAATAAACATCATCTATGACCTTAGATAGAGCAGGCTTGGTGTAATGGTGAGGATTAGTAAGAATTTGAGAAATGAATGGGCAATGAGAAAATGGAAACAATGAATGTAGGCAGTTTCCTTTACTTAGGAGTGTGGTCATGAAAGACAGGAAAGAGACGTGGGATGATAGAGTAAAACAAAGATTTTTTTTAAAGAATGGGGGGAAACTGACATGTTTGAAGTGACAAGAGAAGGAGCCATCTAGTAAGGAGAGGCTTAAAATTATGGCGAGAGGGCTTGATTGAAAGAAAAAGCTCCTGAAAGAGACCCCAATGGCCCACAGTAATATTTAATTTTGTCCTGAACATTGAGGAAAAGGCCACTTTAGGAATTTTCTTTTCCTCTTTTGGAATCCCTTCCTTCTTTGAAAAATAAGCTTCCTGTAGTAGAATTATAGGGCTAAAGAATGTCAGAGTTGGAAATACTTCTATGGCTTATCTAGTCTAGCCCTTTCATTTTACAGGATAGGAAAATAGCTCCCCATTTCCTTTTTTTTAAAAAAATCTCCCATGAATATGGAAGATTTGAAGTCACATTCCCCTCTATTTTACACAAGATCACGTAATAATAGTTCATATGTATATAACAACTTACATTTTACAAAGTGCTTTCTTACCATAATCCTGTGAAACAGGTAATGAAAACCTTATCTTCCTCTTGACAGAAAAAGAAACTGAGACTAAGAGGAATGAAATAAGTGGCTTTTGGTCACACAGTTAGTAAGTGGTAATGTCAAGACTTGAACTCATGTTCCTGAGTTCAAATGTAACCTCAGACACTTCCTGGTTGTGTGACCCTGGGCAAGCCACTTAACCCTGTTTGCCTCAGTTTCCTCATCTATAAAATAACCTGGAAAGGAAATGGCAAACCACTCCAGTAGCTCTGGAAGAATACCCTAAAATGGAGTCAGACACAATGAAACGCAACAAGTGTTGAGCATGTCATTTACCTATTTGAGCCTTGGTTTCTCGATTAAATAGGAGTAATTGGATTTCTCCTACCTTGTTTCATAGGACTATTGTGAGTATCAAATGAAATAATATATGAAAAGTACTTTGCAAATCTAAAAACATTATAAGAATGTTAGATTTTATTATTACTATTATTTTATAAAGTACCATATTTATTCTTTCCCAAATCATATCATATGATGAGTTGGTTAGTAGCAAAGATAGGGTAGCAATCATATTTTCTCTTTCTTTAGCTCTTTCCAATATATCATACTGCCTTTCCTATACATTTTTATATCTTAGTATTTTCTATCCACAGAATTAACATTTACGCCAAATTGTGCTTTGGAACCTTTGACAGGCCTTAAGATAATTAAATTTCTTTCTTTTTCTTTTTCTTCTTGAAGTGGGCAGAATTAAATATTTAATTTGATTACTATTATTTATGACAACAATTCTCTGCTAAAGTCATACTTTGATGACTCACCTTGGCATGAAGCTGATCCTGGGTTCTTTAAGGCTATACTGGAGGAGGCTCACCTGGCTGATCCTGCCAAGTTGAAAAAGCTTAAAGTATGAGCCTGGTAATAGACATTATGTCTGCTTCTTGAGGCCTAGCCTAGTGAACAGGCCCATCACCAAAGGTTGGCCACAGTTTTTCATGAAGATTGTAGAAAATGAAGTGAATATCAAGTCCTGGGACCACAGTTTCAGTCCTAGCTCAGCTACTTACCATTTTTATGACCTTGAGCAAATTAATTTACCTTTCTGGGCCTTAAGTGATTCAACTGTAAAATGAGAAGTTTGGACTAAATGATCTCTGGGGGTCCTGTGCAATTGTGAATTTATGAGCTTGTGACTGATCTACTAAGACTTGGAGGAATTATAATCTGCATTAATGGAGAGAATGATGACATTTCACGGCTCTCCTCAAGGACTACCTCCTAAGAGAGCTTTCCTGATTTACTCTAGTTCAGTGATTCTCAAATTATTTTTGCTTACAGTACAGCATTATTCTTTGCTATGAAGAATGGGGGCACACTGAGGGAAAGGCAGGAGACTTATACATGTCTGCATCAGCTGCATGGCATTTGCAACAGATTCCTGCATGAACATGTGATTGCAAGTGTAAGTTCCTGATGATTTGAGGAACACCTATGGAAATTCAGCCATGTGACAACACCCTTTGAGAATCAATATCCAACTTGCTTATTGTCTTTCAAATTACCTTACATAAATATATTTTGTATAGTTCTATATTTACTTTTCTATGAAGATGGCCACCTCCCATCCATAGAATATTAGCTCTTGGAGGGTAAGGGCTATTTTTCTTCTGTATTTGTATTCCCAGTATCTGCCAGGTGATTGATTGACTGTTAAGGAAGAAGAATCATTACAGTTCTGCGGTGCTTTCACACAAGATCTCACCAGATCTCCAGAATAATTCTGTGAGATCAGCATGAAGAGGCTGTTTTGGAGAGCAGGTTAAAATGTAGAAAATTACATTTTGATTGAGAGGTGTTTATGATATAGGTTTAAAATGAGAATAATCTGTCAGTCAACAAGCATTTTATTAAGTGCCTACTACGTGCCTGGGACAATGTTAAGTTCTGGGGATACAAAGAAAGGCAACCCCCCCAAGTATTTGCTACTTCTATAATGACCTTTGAAAAACGTTGTAAGAATTAGTTGTTTGTGGAGATTTTGAGCTCTTATAAATCTGAAGGGATTTATTTTTTATTCACTAATTAGAAGATCTGATTTTGGCAGTGTAAAAGATGTCAGATGGAACTCTATATTGAGAATCCACAATATTATAGAAAGAAGGATTAGGATAAAAAAAGTCTATGGTACATGGAGTTAATTTATAAGATTTAAATTAAAACTTTTTGTACTGATAATGGCATTTTTATACTATCAGGAAACCACTATGTGGCTCAATATTTTGATATTTCAAGATTCTAATATGTCATAATATAATCACATATCTACAGCTGGAGGAGACCTCAGAGTCCACATAGTCCAGACTTTTCATTTTTCAGAAGAAGAAACGGAGGCTGAGGGAGGTTACGTGACTTGCCTAAGGTCACACAGGGAATAAGCAGCAGAAGCAGGGTTTTAATCTGTGTCCTCTAACTCCAGAACCAGCATCTATTACACTTTGCCATGCTGAATCTAATTCACCGGTGTGGTTACTCCCTTCACCAAGGCAGATTACAACCTTAGCTTTGCCTTAGCCTACAGGAGTTGACCCTGAAAAAATTCAGAACCTGGTGGCAAACCATCCAGTGATGAGCCTTCCTGGATCTAGTGTGGCTGATCTTCTGGTTACTAACACACAGCCTCTTGCTGGATTGTACCCAAAGCTTTTCCAGAGTGGGAGAATGTGCCAGAGCTTTTGTGTAGCCTCTGAACCTGGTCACCTCCTTGCCAGGAAGGGACGTTAGAGCAGGGCTTTCAAGGAGAAACTCCCGATTAACTATGTTTCAAAAAGATACTGTCTATTCAAATGTGGTTTGTATTACTGTCACCTGTTGACAGAAAAATGAATTGTAAGCATAGGCCCTTTGAGGACTTAATCATCCTCTGGAGCAAGGATTCTTATTCTGGGGTCTATGAATGTGTTTTATTTTAAAAAAAATTTTGATAACTGTATTTGGGTAAAATTTGTTTCCTTGGTAATCGTATGTATTTCATTTCATGCATTTGAGAATATTATTTTAAGAAGGGTTCCATTGGCTTCAGCAGACTATCAATGACACAACAAAGGTTAAGGATGCTTGTCTAAAAGTATGCTTGCAAATTTAAGGGACAATGAGCATGATAGGATGCTTGCAAATCTATTTAGTCCCTCCTATACACGTATTCCTAGTGTAGACATTCCTAAATGACTGATTAAGCTTGGAACACCTTTGTTTGGATGGCCTTGACAGAAAAACAGAAGCAGCAAATGCAAGACATGGAAGATGGAATAGAAGAGCTGAAGGCAAAGCTGAAGTGGACCCAATCCCAGCTGGAAGCTGAGAGAGAGGCGGAGAGGCAACGTCAGCTTCAGGTGGGAGCATGGAAGGAGTGAGGTAGAGAAGGTCAAGAAGAGGAGTGGATTTGGGGCTACAGAACTCCCTGAGGATGTAGGTTATAGCTATACAGCAAATTAGAATGATTCTGGATAGTCTTCCCAGCTTGAGGACCAAAGCTATTTTTTTTGGTGGGCATATCATATTCTGTTTGGTATGATGGTCATTTGTGTATGTGTGGCATCCTCCTACTAGATCATGAGCCTGCTTAGGGCAGGATAATAGTAAGTGATTTTTACATAATGCTTTAAAGTTTGCAAAGTGTTGTAAAAACACTCTTATTTGATCATTACAATACCCCCCATAAGGATTGTAATACCACAGATATTATAATCTGCAATGCTACAGATATTGCAATTTCCCATTTTACTGAGGAAGAAAGTATACCATTTACTGATTTCAAAAATAATTTTAGGTGGCCTGGAAGAGAGATTTGAATCATTTTTGTCAGGCCTGCCTAGATGAAGTGAATCCCATACCTGTACCCTTCTCCCACCAAATTGCACTTCAACCCGAATTATTTTTAGCCTCTTTTGTATCATTTGTTCACATACAGTGTACCTATTGGAGCATCTATTTGATTGAGTAGCAACATGTTGTTGGTAAACGATGCAAAAGGAGTAGAATAATGTTCTACTCTGCCTTCAAGGAGTGTACAGTGAAGTTGTAGATGTGTGAGCATGGGCCTGGTGGCTCTGTGAGCGTCTAAGGAGTGCCCAGTGCTGTGTGATCCAGAGTTCTTTTGTGCATCTCCATAGCTACTAAACTGCTGGTTGGACACACAGTTGGTGATAAATGATTGTTTTAAAAATTAAATTGAAAAATTCTTTTGTATTTTTCTTGCTTGTATTTTCAGGAAGCAGAGAATATTCGTCTGAGGGAAACAGAGGCAAAGAGGGAATTTGACAGATGGAAGGAAGAAGAAAGGAAGAAGCTTTACCAGGAAATAGACAATTTGAAGCAATTGCTTCTAAGTGAATTTAAGAGTGTTACCAGTCAGAACTCTATGCTAGAAGAAGTAAGTTACATAAAAGGTTTACACACTTTCAGTTGGCTACATGTTTAACCTTTTCCTCACACCAATAATATAGTTCAAATAAATGTGATCTGCTATTAGTAGATTATCAGGGTGTATTCTTCAGGGAAATAAGGTATTGGATGATGTCATTTAAATTCATTCACATTTAAAAAATATTTTTAGAGTAACCATATGTTTTGCATATTCACTTTATACATTGAAAAGGATTCACATCCTTGGTTACATGTTGCATCCACCGTTAGAAGATAAGTTCTATGAACGCAGGGGCTGTTTGTCCTTTTTACACATCCCTAGTAAATAGCACAGTGATCATGCCAGGGAACCAGATATTCATAACCGTCCTTATAACCAGTGACTTGCCCAGGATCGCACACCTAGTAAGTGTCTGAGGCTGGATTTGAACTTAGGTTCAAATTCCTGACTCCAGGTCTAGTGCTCTATATGCTGAGCCATCAGCTGCCTTGGAACATAGAATACATGAGGGGAAATCATATGAGATAAAGCTGGAAAGGTAGGTTGAAGTCAGATTGTGAATATTTTAAATGCCGATGTAAGATGCTTAGGCTCTGTTTGGTACTTAATTTGAAGGCATTCAAGGCTAGAAGTTAGAGGCTAGCTATACTAATCTAGTTTTACAGCATAGGCTGAAGAAATAGGAATTTGGGAATTTCCATGATCTGGTTATGTTTTCCACACAAAAAAGCCAGAGGCCTTACAATCATTGAACATATTAAATTATGTGTTCAGTTTTCACTTCTCTGTTGGAAAAGACACATTGCATGGCTACACATGCAGAAAATCTCCTTTCAGCTCTTTTCCTCCTAAATTAAACATTGGCTCTGACGCTTCAACACTTCTCTGAAAAGAGGGCAGGAAAAAATTAGATCAGATGTTTAGTGATTATTGTAAGATGAAAATCCAGGGGCACACACAATTACTCAGAAACTCTTGATGTGGAAGGGTGAAGAAGAAGTCAGTAGACTTTTTTTTCTGTGAACTGAAGGAAGTTCATGCCTCTCAGATCAAAGAACAGGGACATGGATTGCTTGGTCTATTAATTGAAGAGCTCTTCATCAGACAATTTCAGAGGCAACATGGTAAACTGGAAAGTGGAAAATATAAGAGACTAAATTTGAACCCGATTCTTTTCTGGTTCCAAATTCAATACTAGCTATCATTTTTATGTAGACATATCTTATAGTTAGGAGTATTTTCCCTTGATGCATTGTCTTAAATTTATCTTTAATGAGTAATTTGTTGTGAACTTAACTTTATCACATGAATAAAACAACTTTTGACTGTGTTTTCTTTCACAATATGACTAATATGGAAATGTTTTGCATGATTGCACATGTATAATCTATATCAACTTGCTTGCCTTCTCTATGAGTGGGGATGAAAAGAAGGAAGAAAGAGAATTTGGAAATCAAAATGAAAAATGTCAATTGTTTTTACATGTAATTTGAAAGAAAAAAAGAGCAAAACCATTGAACTAAACTTTTAGTTCATTTTTTAGTTTGGTTTAGTTTTAGTTTAAACTTTCACCATATAGAAAGGTATAATAGCTTATCAATTTCTTAATTTTATAGGATGACATAGGATTTACAGTTTCTCAATCACAGAAAAACATAGAAGTCTAATCTAAATTAGACTTCAGGGATATAAAAATACCAGTGAAAATTTGCATTGTTTCCTAGGTTGTGTTCTTCAGTAGCTTTCTGCTTGAAGCCATTCAGTATCACACCATGTAAATGAAAGAATAGCAGATAAAATTCTGCAGGCTGATAAAGATATTTGCAGACTTGAAGATCTTTTGATAGGCCAAGTTAAAGGATCCTTTTATCAGTGTATGCTCTTTACATAGCACAAGATGTGGAAGAGACTATTATTATGATATTTTAGTTTAAAATATATATCAATCTCTTCAGAAACTCCAAGCATTGCAAACCCACACTGTAGTAGAGTCTCACCTTGGAACACTGAGGGATGATGATGCTGACGACCGACAGAAACAGGCAAAGGAAATACAAGACATGAAGGAAAAGCTTGAGCATCAGGTAAGTTTTACCCATATGTTTCATCTCCAGTTCCATTTTTAGAGCCATTCTGTCTGCTCCCAAAGTTATCTTCATTATGTTGAATGGAAGAAGCAACTTGTAGATAATAAGCTTCTTTGTATTTGTAGCCCTAGTGCTCAGCATGGTGTGTGGCATACAGAAAGCACTTAATAAATGTTTGTTGACTTATTGATTTTTTAAGGTACATCTGCCAACTCATGAAGTTTAAAAAAATGGAAGAAGTCCCCTAAATTTCTAGTTCTTAAGGATAAACTCTGTTATAAGAAGGTTGAATATTATGTAATTTATGGCCAAAAATTCCTTGTCTGTAGTAATAAAAAATATTTAGCAAATTCACATAATATAACTATTTCTACTTTTATTCCCCAAGTTAATTTTTTTAAATAAGGGATTTTGCTCACAGAATCACTTAATTTCAGACTTGGAAGGAACCACAGAGGCAATTTTTCTAACATATTTGTGAACAAGAATCCTACCTACAACATTTCTGCCACATGGTTACCCAGCCTTTGCTTGAATGCTTCTTGTAAAGCTAAAGCTACTCTTTCCAACTTTTGACAGCTCTAATTATAAGAAAGATTTTGCTATTATCCAGCCCAAATTTGTCTCTGTAGCTTCTATCCATTGCTCCTATTTCTGCCCTTTGGGACCAAGCAGAACAAAACTAATTTTTTTCCCACATAATTACTTTTCAAATTTTTGGACACAGTTATTATATTCCCATTATATGTCTTCTGTTCTAGGTGAAACATGCTTAGTTTCTTCAATTAATCCATATTATCAACTTGAGACTCTTCACCTTTCTGGTCATTCTGGATGGTATCAGGCTAATCGATACCCTACCTATAATGTAGTTACCAGAATTGAACACAATACTTCAGATATTGTCTGACAAGGGCAAAGTTTCCCTACTACCAAATACTAATCTGCTCTTAATGAATCTTAGATCACATTAGCCAAAATGAAGGACAAACAACAACAATTCTATATGACTTATTTATGCCTGCTTCAGCCATCATAGGGTAAATTGTGATTTGATATAATCCAGCTCTATGTGAAAGAGACAAAAGAAGAAGCTTTTAACTCATTCTGGGCCAATTAAAAATCAGTACATTTTGGGATGATCTGATATGGAAAGGATTTAGGGACACAGACAAAATTTAGGGAATTTATTTCAGACATCAACTCTTTCAAACAGAGGCTTTTAAACATGTGTGTGTGTGTGTGTGTGTGTGTGTGTGTCCCTTTTGACACTCTGGTGGAGCTGATGTAACCCCTTCTTGGAATATTGTTTTTAAATACATAAACCTCTATAAATAGGATTACAAAGGAAACCAATTATATTGAAATATGGTTATAAAAACAGCCAATTTCATAGATTCCAGGTTAAGAATCCTTTCTCAGAGCTCAATAACCTTCCTTTACATAATTTTAATTTTCCAGAAATTAACATGGAAGAGAAAGTTAAAGGACCTGCAGGAAGAACATCTGGAAGAAAAGAAAAGGGTAAAAGCTATAACGCAAGTGGTCCAGGGATTGTGATTGTAGCATAGGCTTTCTGATTTATCTCCTGTTTACTCTCAAAATCCTCCCTTTGCCCTATCTTAAGTAGGTGCTGGTTTACTGGTTTACTTTGGGGGTTGGATGAGGAAGGGGAGATTCAAGATGAAAAATTGCTCGTGGCTACTGATATTGTGAACCTCAGGAACTCCAACAATACAGCAAAGGCTGTAGCATAGACTCACATTTTCTTTTGGATGAAGAAAGCCTCAATATACTTGGTAAAAAAGAGTTGAAGAGACATGAATGGTAGGTAAGCAGACTTTCACTTTAAACACATGACCTATTCTGCCTCTTCAGTTTCTGTTCTAATCAAACTATCAATGGATCTTCTACTTCTGCTAACCCCAGCAGCTTACCAGTGGATACAATTTTATGAAGGAAAAAAGTAGTTAATATTTCCTTATCAAAGTTGTGTGTCAGGATGATCAATACTGCAGAGGGGGTAAATTCAGTATTAGTGATAAAGATATGCATTTTATGGGATTTATTTATATCCACAGAAATTTCTTGTTATCCTGGACAAGTCACTTAACCTTCAAAAGCCTCAGTTTACCACAGTTGTATAGAATGGGGTCTGGCAAACTATGATCCCTTAGCTTTTCATAGAGTGTACAAAAACATATGGTGGGCCAGATCTGGCCCAAAAACTATAGTTTGCTGGCCATGATATAGACAAATGGAGGCCCTGAGGAATATATGATCTGAATTAACCAAATCTTAAGCCCAGTAGTTATTTCAAGGGCTTATTTCTAGTTATCTCTGTTTTCCCTAGGTATAAATACTTCTTCAAGGGGAAACTGGTGGTGATGCTGATCATACTGTTCCTCTTATTTGTCCTGATAGAGAAAACTAAACATATCTTTTGCCTACATTCAACCACATTGACCATAAGCCATTTTTTTCTAAGCTTATGGGAACATGGACTTTAATACTGCCTTGCTCAATTATACTCTGTGTGGGTTGAGTAGGTGAATGGAAGTTTAATTGCAAAACTAAAAGAAACTTACTGCTGTTAATTTCATGCATTTCTGCAAATCATTCATTACACATATGTAGGGAAAATGGTTTCTCATTGTGTCTGAGTAAACAATTCATTTCACTTTGTCAGAGCAGAAAAATAACAGCAATATATTTGATAATGACTTTTTGAAAATATCTATGACAAATAATTATTACCTTCATAGCAGGCCACTAGTTGATATGATGAATTATTTTACAAAATAGCACCCAAGTTCTTATTTCACCTCAGATATTTCATGAATATTTCATTGAATTGGGTGATATGTTATAGACTTTTCTGAAATCTGACCTCTTCCAATAAGAGATTATCTTAGTCTCTTCTGGAATGAAATCTGTTTGGAAAACATTTTAATACAGAATATGGCATCTCAGAGGTCAGACCAGAAATTTGACAGAACTCATTCTTTTCAACAGTTGAAGGATGAAAGTGAGAGACTCCGAGTCTCCCTGTCTCGGGATCAAAGGAAAGCTGCAGACCATTTTCAGCGCCAAATGGATTCACTCAATGCCAAATGCCAAGATCAGGCCAACATCATTAAATCTCAGGAAGAAATGGTATGTCTGCCATCCTCTTTCATAGGATAGTTTCATTTAGGATAGTCAATGTCAATCTTTAAAATGTTTTAATTGATGTCTTTGTTTTTTATACCACCTTCACTTTCAGATATAGTCCCTTTCCCACTAGCAGTAAGCCATCCCTTACAACAAAGAATAAAAATGAAAGAGAAAAAAGTGATTAATCAAAATTAATCAGCATACCAGTTGAATTTGACAGTATTTGTCATGTTGCATACCCATGATTTTCCACCTCTGCAATGAAAGGAGAGAAGCACATTTTCTCATCTCTTCAAAGCCAGTCTTTTATATACATATTAGGCTTCATAACTAAGGTCAGATTATTTTCTTCTTTTATCATTGGTTCCCATCTTATTTGCAAGGTTTCTCCTGAAGAGGGAAATGAAAACAGGACTGGAAATAGAAAACCAATAACTGGAAGGGGTTTTATCTTCCTTTATTATAGTGATGACTTCTGTCTTCATTAAAAACTATTAGTAACAACTAAGTAAGAAGCAAAAGCAAAACCAGAAACTTCTATACTTGTGTTTATTCTTTTGTTCCTGAGGATGATTAAAAAGAGGTTGCCCTTTTCTATGCTATCAGATCCTAATGAGGAGCAACCAAATGTGTGCCAGCATAAGCACAACTTATGAATATATTGATCATTGAGACACAACCAACATCAGGTGGTTCATTAATTAAACAAACATGGTTGCCTCTTTCTGATTTTACACAAAATTCTTTTATTCAAAAATATATCCTTCATTAGCTTATTGTTAATGCCTGAATTGTCACCTTTAGAGAACCATCCATACATATTATTGAGAATTTAACACTTTGATAGGGATGTGGTTTCAGTAGTAAGGGTAGTCCCTTCAATAGCAAAGATCTCAACTACTGTCTATTATCTCATTCTGCACAAATCATACATTTCTGTAAATCCTCTTTTGAGAACCTCCCAAAGATTCCAAGGATCTTTCTGTGGTTCTTTTAATATCTCAGTGTTACCAAGATGGCACCTGGGCTCTCCATCTCCTCTCTTATTCTCTCTATGGAACCAGTTTATCTCTTTTTCTGCCTTTGATATAGTTTTTTATGTAACATCTAAAGTGTAGTCGTTGATGATGATAATGACAATAATAGCATTTTTATATAATGCTTAAAGTTTGCCAAGTACTTTATGAATATTATCTTATTTTATCCTCACAATAACTCTGGGAGGTAGGTGATATTATTATTCCCATTTTATAGATGAGGAAATTGGTGCAGACAGAGGGTAAGTGCCTTGTCCAGGGTTATACAGCTAGTAAGTATCTGAGGCAGGATTTGAACTCAGATCTTCCTGATTCCAAGTTCAGCCTTTTCTCCACTGATCCCACTTATACCTGTCATTAATCTTTTCATTGACCCTCAGGTTACTTGTGATATTGATTTTTCTGAAAGAACTGTGTTTCATTATTTGTAGCCATATGATATTTCTTGAAGAATACTGTTGAGAGAGATGATCTTTTGTGGCACTGGGCTTTTTGTTGTTCACCCTTTGTTCTCAAAGAGGGCCAATGCCCTCACAAGGGTGATGTCATGACTTGCACATGAATTGGATTTAAGTGAGACAGAGCTGCACAAAGTCATCAACCTCACTTTCTCCTCCAGAGTCATCAAAGTCCAGTGGCAAGACAAAAGTCAAATAATGGCCTGAGATGTAGTGGATGACCTTGGCCTTTTAGAATTATTGAAAGTAATGAGCAATTCTCCAATTGTTATGTAGCATGATCTCTTTTTTTTTAGTTAATTGTTCACCTTTAGAAGATGACCAGATTAACAAATGTACACAATGACTAAATGTACACTAAGACTATAAATATCAGAGATGGTTCTGACCTATTTGTAGAGAGAGTTCCCTCATCCAGAAATACCGTATACCAGTAAAATCACATGTCCAACCTCCATTCCTATCTATATCTACTGAGTCACATGTTTAAAACAAAAAGAAAAACAAAAAACACCAGTGAGCTCTTATATTCTCTATGCACCTCTGCTATTTTGTAACTTGAAAGATGTGGACTTTGATAGAAAATTGTCCATAAAAGCTTATTTTTTCTTAAGTTTCTGTCAAGAATACCCATGATATGTGTACATCAGCCTTTCCTCTAAATATTTTACAGACATGGGAATGCAGGCATATGGATAGATCATTGTTGTATTGTTGGTCACCTTCTTGGGGAGAAGTATGATTTCTTGGAATCTTTCTCTAAGATATTGAAAATGGACCGCTGAGTACTTCCAAAGTAGTGTTACCACCATCATAGATTTCTCTTATGTATTTGTTCAGAGCCAGCCTTTTTCTCATTTCAACTTTATGTGTCATTGTTGTTTTGTCACAGCCCATTGGGCATGGAGGTGACAGAGTCCAAATGTGTTGCTTCCACTATTTTCCGTGATGAAAGTAGATCCCTATGAAACATCAACAGATCAGTCCCATTTCACATTTATTCATTGTCCTCTCTTTTTGGTTCATTTCCATATGAAACATATTTACACATGTTTCATTTACGTATGCCCTCTGGATGCCATTGCCTAGCAACATTTCACAGCAAGTTCTCTGAATGCTTAATTTCTATTCAACTGCATGTTGCTGTCATGTGAGGTAATACTACTTGTGAACTTCTCATATAATGTTTTACAAAAGAACTGGTAGTCTACACAGGATTTTGTCATGGCTGCCATGTCTTGGCAATGAACTTGAAATCTGGTTATTGTGTCCTATTTGGGGGTTCTCTGTTTCCTATTGCAGCAAGTATTTCCTATCAGTTCTTCTCTAAGAAATAATCACAGGCAGGATCAATGTTTCTACTTTTAAATACATTTCACATTTTTGGAGTTGATATGTATATAATGCTTTAAAATTAATAAAGTACTTTATCTATAAAAATCTTGTAAGGTAACTTACTACAAGTGTTGTTTATCCACATTTAATAGATGAGGGAGGGGAGGAATAAGCATTTATACAGCACCTACTATATGCACTGTGCTAAGTGTTTTACAAATATCATCTCATGTGATCCTCATAACAATCCTGCAAAGGGTTATTGTTCCCATTTACATTTGAGGAAACTGAAGCAAACAGAGTTTAAATGACTTGCCCAGGATCACACAGCTTGTATGTGTCTGAAACTGGATTTTAACTCAGTTCTTCCTTGGTCCAGGCCCAGCACTCTATTCACTGTACATTCAGTTATCTTAAGATGGAAAAAACTGAGGTTAAAAGAACATCAAAGTTATGAAGCTAGGAAGTGTCAGCTTGAGAAATGAACCTAGGTTTTCTGACTCCATGTCTAAAGTTCTTTATAAAATGTTTTATTGACGACTTTTGTTTTTGATATCACAGTCATTTCTGGATATTATGCCCTCCCTCAAATGAGTGTCCTTCTTGTAAGTAAGAAAGATTTTTAAGTGAAACTAAGAGATACAGTGACTGTAATATCTGCACATCTACAGTACCCCTTGTATATACCCTCCCATCTCTGCCTAAAGGAGGGAGACATTTCATTTTCTGTTCTCCTGGGACAACATTAAGCCTTATGATCACTCTTGCATTTAGATTTATTGTTATATTATATCATATTATATCATATAATATCATACTATACTATATCATATCATATCATGTTATGTTATATTATACTATACCATATCATATCATGTCATATCATATATTATGTTTGCTTTTTCTTTTCATTTACCTTAAGATAGTTATTGTATACATTGTTTTCCTGTTCTGGTCATATCTTTAATATGCTTTTCAGTATGCCCACCCCTTTGTCTTTAGTCTTCTAATTTAATATTTAATTTAACTTTCATTTTAAAAAGTCAATGATCTGACTGCAGCTAAATGGATGTTTTTAAAATTATATTTACTGCTATAATCACCTTTTGGCTAAGTATAGCCAACCTCATTTTTTTTTTTATTATATTGCTCCATACTTGCCTCATCCAGTGACTTCCAATGTTCTTGAAGAAAGTATTTGGGATTTAGATTTCTGAGCAATCTAAAATTTTTCACCTTTTTCATTTCTTGATTCTGAAGTGTGTTTTCCAACATGATTTTGACTGTCCTACTTTGAACCCACATTTATATTCAAGTCATTTGGCATGAGAATATAGTTGACTTAGTTTAGAAGATCTTGTCACATTCTTCATTGAATTTCTTTACTTCCTCATCCTTTGCAACCTATGCTGGCACATAAGTGGAAATTACCTTCCTCATTGTCTGTTTCCTTGTATGCATCATGAGCATTGCAAAGTGAGATTACCAAGTATCCCATTAAGTGATGTTTTTCTTTTAACCTTTGACAAAGTGAAACCATTTCTGCCAATTTATTTATTCATTTCTCAGATGAGAGAACCTGTCAGCTATTGGAGTTATTGCTAACTTCTTTACGTCTTTTTGTTTCATTTAGAGTAAACATTTCAGTATGGGACATGATAAAGTTCCTCCAGTTCATTAATTCATTGATTGTTGGATAATGATCGCTTGTTAAGAATACTAACAATTAAATTCAAGTTTATAGATGGTATAAATAGACTGTGTGATCTAAGTAGCTTCTGCCCTCTTGCGTGCCATTTTGCCAACACAATTATAGAAGCAGAATGGGGATATGTAGGGCCGAGGGGCACTTGTATTGTCCTTGGCTTGTCATCAGACATGCACATTTGTGCATGCACACACACACACACACACACACACACACACACACACACACACACACATATTACCAGGTGGCAAAATCTGCTAATGAGTCTCTGTTCTTAGCTGGGAAGGACCCTGGACAGCTAATATAGTTTATCGTTTGAGAGGTATTTGGCCTTTGAGGTTTGCCAAACCCAGGGCCACTTTAATGCCAGAATGAGACATCAAAGTAGTACTTCTGTGAAGAGCTTACCTTTTTTTAATGCAAATATCCTTCAAGCAATGGGTACTATATTAAGGTTGTTTATTAAAATCAATTATTAAATTTATTCATTGAATTATCCTGTTATAATACAAACCTGTCTGAAAAGAGATACAAATCAGGCCTTATCACCTCTAAATAGCTTAGCATGAATGTTAGGTATTTATAGTAATTAATAAGAGCTAACATTTATAGTACTTTAAGATTTACCAAGCATTTAATATATTATTTTATGTGCTCTTCATAATCACCCTGTTAAATAGGTGCTATTATTATCTATATTTTATAGATGAGGAAACCGAGGCTACAAGAGGTTAAGTGACTTGTCCAGGGTCACACAACTAGTTAAGCATCTGGGGCAAGATTTGAACTTGGGTCTTCCTGATTCTAAGTCCAGATCTCTTTTCACTCATACCTTCTCTGTGATATGCTCAAAGTCTTTCTAATTTAGCAGCTAACTGAGAGCACATTTCTATGGATGGAGAGCCTCTACAAATAAGTTTTAATTGACAAACCCTCTCTCACTGGTGCAGTGGGAAACACAAAGAATGGCTTATTTAATGTAATAGTGAGTACGCCCTTAGTACTACCAATGTGATATTGATTTAACAATAATATTGTTATGGTTTATTGAATAAATAATTTTCATCCCTGTTGCTGTTCTTATGGGAATATTGGCTTATATGTGTATGGCTCTTTACAAGTAGCCTTTATTAAGGCAGTCAGGATAGATATCACTGTGTTCATTGGACAGATGAATAAATAGGGCTCAGAATAACAAAGGGACTTGCTTAAAATCACATGCCTAGAAAGTGTTCAAGCCAGGACTAAAACCCACTTCTTCTGACTGCTATGTTAGTGTTCTATTTCTCACTTCTACACAGCCCCTCTCTCATTTCTAGCTGTGCTTCTGAGAGAACAGTTGCTCAGAGCATGGTAAAAAAAAAGTTATAGAAGTCATTCCATCTGCTTCTCATTTTCCTTGTTTTAAATTTTTACAGATTAAAAGGATGTCTCTCAGAAAGGAGGAAGGTAAGTTTTTATTCTTTAAATGGATTGGGATTATTAACCCCAGTTATGGTCTTTAATACAGGGTCTTTCCCTACTCCTCCTCCCAACCACATCCCAAAGAAATCTAGCAAAAGTGATAACATTTTTAATACCTGATAATGATATCCAACACTTAGTCTTTGGCTGCTCCAATTGACTCTTTTTCATGTTCCTTGGTCATATGCCCTAAGAACAGGGCCTGAAATCAGAAGGAAAAAGCATTCAAATCTAGGACAACAGGATCCTATACAGAAATTTTAATTTCCATTGGCATGTTTTCTAGCTGAAATCAATGTCCCTGTAATGATGTACCATGCATGTCATTTTTATTTGGCTGAAATTTAGAGTAGAGAGGAATCATTTATGATAAGGTATGACTTTGGGACTTTACTCAAGATTAAAATTGGAAGCAATTTTATTATGTAAACATGATACTGATATTAATTCAACACACAATTAATCTATTATGTGCAAAGCACTGTGGTAGACATTGAGGGAGATATAAAGACATGTGTATATGTATGACGTGTATGTGTAAACATATAACTCGATGTCAATTTGGGCTTTGTCTTAATTCTTCAACTACCTCTCAGATAAATTTCTCTAGCTATCCTTAGATGAATGAATGAATGAATGAAAGATGTATTTAGCACTTCCTATGTGAAAAACATTGTGCTAAACACTGGGGCTAGTAGTTAGGGATAATAAAAATAAGAAAGTCAATCCCTGCTCTCAAGGAGCTCATATTCTAATGTCAGGGACAACACATGAGGGAAGTTTCAGCTGTAAGTCAGATGGAAGAGTCCTATGGTCTTAAGGGGACAGCAGCAAAACATATGTTAATGCATCTAATGCCATTTACATCTATAAAATGATGGCATAAAACAGTGTCTAAGACTGTGGTGTCAAGAACCTTCTTTTTTGGGTCTTTAGTAGCTGTGACTATAGCACCTGCAATAGTAGTTAACAGACAGAATCTCCAAATGAGTTGCTTCCAGTTCATAACTGAGGACACTGGATGCTTCTGAGTCCTCTCTTCACTGAGGGTGGTTTTCTTTGCTGATTTTATCTCCCTTCCTGTGGAGCCAAACCTGAAAAATAGGAGCTATTATTATCCCGATTTCACAGATGAAGAAACCAAAGCAGAGAGAGGTCAAGTGATTTGCCCAGAGCCACACAGCTAGTAAGTGTCTGAGGCTGTATTTAGACTCAGATCTTCCTGATGCCAAAACCAGCTGCCCCTGTAGGACCTTAAAAGCCATGGAGTGCACCTTCCTCATTTTACAGATGAGGGAACTGAAGTATAGAGCAGTTAAGTGATTTTTCTTAGAATCAGAGAACTAATGTCTGAGACAGTATATGAATGCAGTTCTTCCTTACTGGTCCACTACCAGCAATTCTCAAAGAGTGGTTGAAGAATCCCTGGTCATCTGTGAGTTCAAAACTATTTTCATAATAGTGCTAAGATGTTTTAATTTCTAAAATAATATGCACAGATGGATATAATCTTCACAAAAAAAGCTCTTTGAGGATGGGTCCTCAATTTATTTTAGCATATAAAAGGGTCCTGAGGTAAAGAAAAAAAATATGAGAACCACGATATCATAAACCATGATACCTTTCTGCTGCTTTCCCCTAGTTTTTTTTTTGTTTTCCCCTAGTTGGAGGTGAGCTTCTTGATGTCAGATGTTTTCATTTTTGTCTTTACATTCCCACCACCTCACGCAGTGTTTTACACATAGTAAGTTCTTAATAAATACCTGTTAAATTGAATTGGATTGCTTGAGAGCTGAACCATGAACAAAGACAAAAAAGCTAAAGTGAGATGATGTTTTGGGCTTCCACATTCCTCAGTTCCTTTGTGTTAAAGAGGTTAATAATAAGAGCAAGCTCACATGTTATTTTGGGCTTTTTTTTTTTGCTTAACAAAGCACTTGATTCATTTTAAATGTGTCACACATGTTTAAATGTGTCACACACATTAGATGACACAAATTTTAAATCCTTTGAGATAGGCAGAACAAATATTTACCCATTTTACTGATGTGTAAGCAGATGCCATGGTACCATAAGTAGCCTGTAAACCCTGCTTCTCAAGAAGCTGAAACTGGAGAATTGCTTGGCTTGAGAGTTCTGAGCTACAGTAGGGTTAAAGCCACCCTAAGTCTGATGGCAATACGATGAGCAGATGAGGAAGTCGGGTGGCACCAGGCTGCTTAAGGATGGACTGGTTGGGGAGAGGATTCTGGGAAGATGGTGGAATAGGTCAGAAAATTCCAAGCTCTCAAGATTTTCTCCCACAAAAGAGACAAAATAGCACCTTAGGGTGAACAAAGTGAGGGTAAAAGATAAGAATAGGGGCATAACAGGGGTCTTCCTGGGACAATTCGAGAAGATTAGAAGAAAAATCACTGGACAAGGTTTGGTCCCTGAGAAGAGTAAACACCTCCAGGCTAGGAGGTTAACGACAAGCTGCAAGCCCTGGGGTTGGCTGGTTTGGGAGGCTGCCTCCACCCCAGCCAAAGGAAATTTTACCCCTGGGATAGTGAGGGGAGTTGGGTGTCTGAGCCCGGGAATATCGAAGCAACCTCTGCCGACAAAGAACACCAGACCCAGCTGTGCTTCGGAGAGCAGGGATGGGGGGGAGGGGCGAGGGCCAGAAGGAACCAGAGCATGCCTGGTGAGTGCAGAAGCAGTGGGGTGGAATGCCCCTGGCTGTGAGCACTTACAGGAGGCTGGAGGTTTGGCTTTGGTTCCAGGCTAGAGGGGAGAACTGAAGATCTGGGGCAAGAGGCTCCTTCCCACATACCCTGGGGATAGATGATTACAAAAATTAAGCTATTACTACAAAAATATGCAAAGGCAAAGGAGAAAGAATCCAATCATAGAAAGCTATTATGGGCATAGAGAAGACTGGGGTTCATCTTCGGAGGAGGATATTGAAGCAAAGAAACCCCCTTCTACCCCAAGAGTAACTCAAATGGTCACCTGCCCAAAAAGAATTCAAAGAACTTAAAAAAAAACCTTTAAAAATCAAATGAGAGAGATGGAGGAAAAATTTTTTTAAAAAAGAATAATCTGAGGAAAAACAAGAAGACTATGAAAGGAAAGCCAATCAATTAGAAAAGCAAATCCAGAATCTTAAGGAAGAAAATGACACTTTGAAAATTAGAATTGGGCAAGGTGAAGCCAGCAAAATTATGAGAGATCAAGAAATAAACAAAATGTAAATAATGAAAAGAGAGAAGAGAAAGTGAAACATCTTATAAGAAAAACAATAGATCAAGAAGAGAAAACATAAAAATAATCGGATTAACTGAAAGCTATGATCAAAAAAGAATCTTGATACAATAATACAACAAATAATTAAAGGCAATTGTCATGAAGCATTAAAACGGGGAGGGGGGGAGTAGAAATAGAAAAAAAATCAATCGATCACCATTTAGAAGTGATCCTATGAGGAAAATTCATAGGAATGTTATAGCCACATTCTGAAACCAGCTCAAGGTTAAAATAAGAGAAACAAGAAAAAAAAACAATTTAAATGTGATGGTGCTACAATTAGAATCACATAAGACCTTGCAGAGGAGACATTAAAGGTCCATAGGTTTTAGAACACTATGTATTGAAGAGCAAAAGAACTGGGGCTCAGGCTGAAAATATCATACCCAGTAAAGTTAGGCATAATCCTGAATGAAAAAAAAATGGACATTTGATCAACTGTCAGACATTCAAGATTTTGTTAAAAAAAACCCAACTGAACTTAATAGAAGATTTGACATACAAGAGCCAAGAGAAACAAAAGGTACATACCAAAGACTGATTACAAGGGATTCAATAAAGACAGACCATTTATCTTTTATACATGTAAGATGCAAAACATATGTCTAAGATTCTTATTAATAATTGGGTAGCTCATAAGAAAGATTGGGGTAGACCTGAGTATGATATGACTTTAAAAAGTAAAACCATTGAGGAACAACTAAAAAGAGTAATTATTTTATACAAATAAGGTGCAAGAGGAAGAATTGATGCAGGGGAATTAGATGGAGGAGGAGGACTGGTAGTTCTGGTAATCTACTTTCACCGGGAATGAGTTTAAGAGGGTACAGTACATATATATTTGGAAGTGTATAAAATCTTCTAAATTTAGAAGAAATAAAATGGCAAGGGAATAGGGAGGGGAGAGAGGACAAGAGAGGGATTTCTAGAGGGGAGGGTAAGGGACTAGGTTATAGGGGGCTATAAAAGGGTGTTTAGATTTATGGGAAAGGGAGGATGGGGAGGGATTCTCAGAGAGGGGTAGGCTAAGTAACAGAAGGGCAAGGTAGTGAGTAGAGGTAAAGTAGAGGAATCAGGAGGGATAGGAAACAAAAGATATGCAAAAATATAAAAACAAGATCAGGAGTAGAATTTGTTAGGGAAAGTATATGTCTATATATGTAAATACATACATGTATATATGTAGATTGTGTATATACACATATGTTTATAGCTATAGCTATAGAGAAATATATGTGCACTCAGTTGTAGCCTTGGCTGGGGGAGAGAACAAAATAAAAAAAAGTGCACAGCAGAGAACAAAATAAAACTTACAAGGAAGCAAAGAAGACGGACATCTCACTACACAAGTATAGTATTAATCATACAGACTTTCTTAAAATTAGAATTTATCATTGCATATTTTGAATCCTCTCCTATGTTCTGCTATGCACACGACATGCTTTTTTTCCCTTTTTTTACTTTGTAATTAAGTTCCAGTATTTAAGTTTATGATATGTTTTTTCTTTTTCTTTTTTCTATTCTCTGTGTTCTGGTATCCGAGTCTAAAATAAAATGCAATTTAAAAAAAAGGACGAACCAACTGGCCTATGGTGGAAATGGAGCAGGTCAAACTTTTTACCCAGTTAAGCAATGCTGCACTTCCAGACCCCTTCCAAGAAAAAAAGTAAATATGGAAACAAAGGCTTAGAGTAGTTAAATGACTTACTAAAGCAGTAAGTGGGAGGGCTGAGAATCAGGTTTTCTGGCTCTCAGAATGCTTTTCCCATTGGACCACTGGCCTCTCAGAGGGAGGAATGTGGGATGGAGCTGATGTTGGATACAGCCCTTAACCAATCCTTTTCTTTGCAGTGACCTACCAAGTAACAAAGGCAGAAGAGACAGAAGAGGATTCTACACAAGAAGGTGGGAAAGTAATTTTCTTACTTCTTTTTGTTTTTTCATGTGCATTATAGTCAGAGATGCTCATAATAGAAGACAAGGTTTCAGAAGCATTTTAGGGGGTGGAATGGGGAATCCTATATCTGGTTTTCTTCTCCCATGTAGATGATTGTATTTTAAGACAGAGGCCTCATTTTTTTTTAAAGTTGGGAATTACAATTTTTAGTCATTCTAAAGCAGTAATTAAACTATCCTATAGTTAAGTAATATCTAAGCTAATGGAATAAAGACTGGACCTGTAATTTCATTGATATAGGGAACTCCCAGATAAGGATCACACAGTCAGTATGTTTCAGAGGTGGGACTCATATCCAGGTCTTCCTGTATCTAAAGCCAGCTCCCTAGCTTCCACACTAAACTTCTTAAGCTACATATCCCAGTTGGGTTAGAAATAATAATCACCCTGCTGGCTTAAAAATGGCTGTTGCTAATTTTATATGCTTATGTGTTACATATTTAATCACATAATGCCAAAATGCACTCAGTACCCTCCCATGCCCTCCCCTTTTCTTTCTAGATCATCCAATACCAGCTCCTTGAAAAGTACTTGCTTAGCCCTCAGCATTTGCAAATTGTACCAAAGCAGCTGGGTGGTGCAATGGATAGAGTGCTGGATCTGTAGTGAGGGAGATCCAAGTTTAGATCTGGCCCCAGGCAATTACTAGTTGTATGACTTTAGGGAAGTCAAATAACCTCAGTTTTTCCATCTGTAAAATGGGTATAATAAAAATAACTATCTTTCAGAGTTGTGAGGATCAAATGAGGTAACACATGTAAAGCACTTGGCACATAGTATATGCTACATAAATATTACTTATTACTATTATTGCAAAGCAAATCCTTGTACTAGGTTTCTATCAAGGTATGAAAGGAACAAAGGGTATGACCTCAGATCTTGAGGTTCATGTAAATATGTACAATAGAAAGACTGAAAAATACTTAAAATATAACCTATCAATTACGCACGACAGCTGCCAGTTTACTCTCTCTTTAAGCAAACATGATTTTGAATGTAAAAAAATCCAGACTTACAAAATACATAAATTGGAAGTGGAGAGAGGTTGAAGGGAGAATTGTTTGCTTGAGGTAAGAATCATTTTGGGGGTAGAGACTAGACCTATGATTTCATTGATATAGGAAACTCCCAGGTCAGGAAATTCTTTCTACTTCTCTGGAACTTATGGTCTTAGATCTGTCTAGAACACTGAAAAGGTCAGGTCACTTACCTAAGATCGTAAAGCCAATATATGTCAGAAACAGGATTTTAATCCTGGTCTTCTTGGCTCCAAGGTCAGCTCCCTATTATGTTACATTGACCCTCAAGAATCATTGCGAGATTTTCAAAAAATAGCTCTGCGTTTTGTATATGCATATATAATACATGTATTAATATATGTGTGTACATATGCATATGATTGTATATATATGTATATATTTACGAGAATTCAAGTTGCATTTAACTTCAGGAATGTATCTGTTGCATAAAGAAGGGTTATAGGATAAACTGAGTCCATATAAATACTAAGGGAAGGTAAAGTAAAGGAATAATGAATTAGAGTTAAGAAAGATCTTAAGTATTGCCCCTTATTCTGTCATGTTGAATTAACTTTGATGGGCCTAGCTTTGATTATAGAGATGTGTCACAAAGTCTAAGTCATGGACAGCAAATAGTCAAAACTGGTAATGTAAGTACTGTTAAGGAGAAAGTCAGGCAGTAACCTGGACTGGAGAGAAGCAGGGTATGGGCTACATTTGTCAGAATCCCAAACTATCAGCAATCTGGAAATATGAGGGGCAGGATGGAGGGCAGGGAGTTTGTAGTTATCAGTATGTAGGGACAAATCAAGGATTCAGAAGCTGGAAATCAGTCAAAGTAGAGTGGGACAAACCCCTCTCAAAGATAAGGAGATGTGGGAGAAAGCAAGCTGTACATAGCAGAAATCTGCAGTTTCGTGCAGTCTCTTTCTCTTCTACTACATATAAGAAAATAACCATTTTACTTGGTGTTTGCTAAATTCAGAATAAATAAATGAATCAACAAATAGATAACTAACTAGCTAGCTAAAATCAGTGGTAAGGAATCCAGAAGGTTTGAGTTTCAGACATTGGCACAAGTGAATAGAATCCCCAAAGTGAATTTAATTCTTGGGTAGGGCTTATTTGCATTTTTTGCACTTTTTCTGGATGTGACCCCTGCTGTGCCCACAGGTGTATGCATTAGGAAACTGTAGCCAAATGTCTGTTATCAGAGGCTTGCATTACAGTTATCATTACCGGGAAATCCTTACAATTATGGTCAAATTTGAAAAGTAGCTCTGCTGAGGATAAAGGCATTCAAAGAGGGTTGGCTGACCTCCGTGATCTGACTGTGTTGCAGAGTTGGAGGACTCCTTTGATGGAAAGCAGAAGGTGCTGGAAGCACTGAGAAGGAACCCTAAATTACTGAAGCAATTCCGGCCAATTCTGGAGGATGCCCTAGAAGAAAAACTGGAAAGCATGGGATTAAAAAGGGCAAGTTTCTATGCTTGAAAGAACAACTGCACACTTTCACTTGCTGAGCCCTGTAACCAAACTGTGATGTTCTTAGACTAATGAATTACCTTTGACAATATAATTAACAAATTTACTAACTGTTCTTTCAGTACTAACAGTTCTTTAGCTGGAATATATACATTATAGTTAAAGACTGCAAGGTAAAAGGCAAGGAAAGAAGAATACTTAGTGTATTAGTGAATTGCATTTTGATGCACACATTTGCTATTTAAAATAATTGCTTAAAACATTAGAGTGGTGAAGTCTCTAGCCTTGTTAGTGTGAAATCTGTTTCAGTAATCATGAGACAGAGAGAGAGAGAGAGAGAGAGAGAGAGAGAGAGAGAGAGAGAGAGAGAGAGGGAGAGCGAGCGAGCAGAGTAACAACGATGAAAAACCCCCTAACAGTGTTTATGTAGTATTTTAAGGTTCGCAAATTGCTTTGCAAAAACTATCTCATTTTATCCTCACAACAATCCTGGAAGGTAGATGCTATTATTACCCCCATTTTAGAGATGAGGAAACGGAGATAGATAGAAGTGAAGATACTTGTCTAGGTCTCATAGTTTACAAATGTTTGAGGCCAGTTATGAACTCAGGGCTTCCTGATTACAGCTCTATCACTTTGTTCCACCACCTAGGTGCCTCTCTGTATAGTGGCTGCAATGTTGGACTTGGAGTTAGGAAGACCTGGGTCCACCTGGTGCCCTGGAAAAAATATTTAGAATTAAGACTACAAAGAAGATACAAGAAAGACATCTCTCTCTTTTGACACAGATTCTTTTTTAAAAAAATATTTTATTTTTCCCCCGATTACATGTAAAAACAATTTTTAGCATTCATTTAAAAATTTTTTTGAATTCCAAATTCTCTCTTTCCCTCTCTCCACTCCTCCCTCCCTGAGATGATAAGCAATTTGATGTAGGTTATACATGTTCAGTCATGTAACACATATTTCCACACTAGTCATTTTGTGATAGAACACACAGATTAAAAAAAAAACAGGAAAATAAAGAAAGTGAAAATAATATGCTCTGATCTGCAACTCCATCAGTTCTTTCTCTGGAGGCAAATAGCGTTTTTCATCATGCATCTTTTGGAATTCTGACAGATTCTTATGGTATCTGTCATTTATTTTGTCTGTTTTAGGGTACAAAGGGAATTTCTGATAAGACTTACAGAAATTTGGAAGCAATGGTAAAAGCCCATCGAGAACAGAAAGCCAAGATGTTTTCAGAACTCCTGAAACTAAGGGACAAGCTTATCAAGGGGGTCGCTCGAAAAATCATTGAAAGGCAGCAGAATGAGAGCATATCATTACAACCTACTAAGGTGGCTGCAGGTAAGTAGGTGGAGGCATTGTCTCTGGGAACCTCTGTGCGTGGAATATGGGAAATTCTAATGGTGTACATCAATGTTAGCAGAACTTGGGGCTATGGAATAAGTCAGAATGGAAGGACCCATCAAGTCCAAATCCTGCCTTTTACAGATGAGACAGCTAAAGCTAGATAAAGTAACTTGGCTAAGATAATAATTTACTTCTCCTCCTTAGTGTGAGAATCACAGATTTTTAGATCTGGACAAATCTGGGCTTAGAAAACTCATCTCCCAGAGCAGAAAGGTGAGGTCCAGAGAAGGAAGTAACTTACTCAGTGGGCAACTATGTGGTATCATAGTGCATAGAGTGCTGGGCCTGGAGTCAGGAAGACCTGAGTTCAAATCCAGTCTCAGACACTTACTAACTGTGTGACCCTGGGCAAGTCAAGTAACCCCTGCTTGCCTCAGTTTCCTCATCTGTAAAATGGGGATAATAATAGCACCTACTTCCCAGGATCATTGTGAGGATGAGACAATAATTGTAAAGAGCTTAGTGCAGTATGTGGCACAGAATAGGAGCTATATTATTATTATTATTACTTAGCTATTATTACTGTTGTTATTATTGTAGAGTTAGGATTCAAACTTAGGTCACTCAGATCAAGTATTTTTTCCATTTCACTGTCCTGCCTTTCTTTTTTGTCCCATACTACCTCTCTCATAAACTTAAATTCTAGGTCCTCAAGCAGAAACTGTTCCTTTGCTATTTCTTAACTACAAGATGAATATTTGATGCTCAGAGAAGTTATCCACAACTTTTGTAGGCCTCCCTTTAATAGAAAACCTCCCTGGATGGTGTTTGTTACCATATCTACCATGCAAATTAGCTTCCAGCTAATGAACCCAGGGCCTGAAAGAAATAAGGCTGTTGGAAAAGGCAAATAGGATTACAAATGGAGAGTAGGACTCTCAACTTTCATATTAAATACTAATATTTCCTGATACTTCTACTGGACAAACATGCTAAGAATTAAGGAACAGTTTTTCCTTACTAATGGATTTAGGGTACCTCTTAGATAGTTAACCATTTCAACATCAATGGACACTCACTTTGTTTCTAGTTCCTTGATACCATAAAAGTACTGCAATGTGTATTGTTATATATTGGAGTTTTCTTTCTGTCCTTGACCTCCTTGGGTCTGAAAGGTAATTTAATTAAGCTGTATCCCTGCTTATAAGTAAGTTGAATCTAAGTCATTCCAGATGAATATGTTCATATTCTATTCTTTAGAAAGCTCAAGAAACGAATAATCTTCATATTCTTCAAGTAAATATTTTTAGTGTATAACTCTTTCAGGATATTCTTTATATCTAATCTGACTTTCCTGTTTTAATTCCTCCCCAAATCTTCCACTCTTTCTTTCATAAAGGCAGAAAATGACTGTCACCATTCTCCAGACTTTTGAATGAAGGCCACTATTTCTCTTTTAACTGCTAATCCCCTCCTCCTCCTCTTCTTCACCCTCAGTCCAGTCAGGATGGGAGGAGGGACCTTTTATTCACTCTTTCTTCTACTTAATTCAGCTAGGACCCTGTGGTATGTGAGATAATTTGTATTGTGTTTCACTGATAGAAGTCATGTAGCTCGAATATACTTACAGCATCCTCTGGTATCTATTTGTATTTCAAAGTCTCCTTTAGACTGTACCCCAAAGATTTCTCCTTGTTGGTCACCACAAAAGCTTGCTTTGACATTCTTCCTTATGCTGCTGATCCAAATTCTTTCCACCTAGCTGTGTCCTATCCATGCTTTCAGGCTCACCTCCCCCTTTTATTTTTTACCACTACCCTAGTTCATACTGATCTTCCCTTTCATGAGTTCCTATAGCATTTGAAAAAATCAGTATGGTACTTGTATCATAACAACTTGATAATATTACTTGGACTCAATAAAATATGCCTCAATAAATAGTTGGTGAATTGAATAATATCCCATTTTGTATTATTCTTTGTTTCTTATCATGAGTCTTGCTTCCTAGGCCCCTTGTGATCTGGGACATGTGTTATCCTTGTCTTTTACCTGCCTCAGCAGTTGGCATAGTACTAGGTACATAGTAGGGCAAGGAAAAGAATAAACATTTACATAGTGCCTACTATGTTCCAGGCACTGTGCTAAACACTTTTATAAATATTATCTCATTTAATAGTAAGTATTCAGTACATACTTATTGTTTGATACTATATCTTCTTTCCCCAAGCTAGTATTTTTCTTACTTTCCTGTTACTGCAAGGTCTTCTTGTTTTCCATCTTTCCCAGATTTCCACACTTCTGGGGAAATGTGATCTTTTATAATCACACATTTGATTTGATTGAATTTTACACCAGCAAGAATAGAATAAATAAGTTCACAATGAAGATGCTCAGTGTTTGAATTTTCAACTTCTCTGTCATGGAAATTTCAGCAGACGCATTTAATTCTCGGCCTAGACGGTACTGCTAAGACCTCTTGTGGAAGGAGAGCTTTCCTGAGCTTTGGACACAAGCGACTCAGTCAGAAATACAGACTTGAATGATGAAGTGTCAGCGTACATATTCAGTGCTGAACTGAGAGGCACTGGTGACTAGAATTCCTGGGAATGTGGCTTAGGCCACAGCTAGGGTGACTTAGCTGTAAAAATAAGCAAGGCTATTTCCTGTTTACTTTTTGTGTTGTATTCTCTGGAATTTCTTCAAAACATGTGGCCCTTTGCTCACGTAAATACTGCCACCCAGGGTCTTAACTGGGAATTTCTTGCCAAATTTAAAGCAATTTGAAGACTGAAGCTGCATAGTCCGTTTCACAGAGCAGGAATTCAAGAATTCTGTGGAGTAGAGTGAGAGAATCTTAGGACTGGAAGGGACGCTAGCGATCATCCAGTCCCCTCATTTTACAGAAGAGAAAACAGAACCCCAGGGAATTAAATAACTGACCTAGTGGGGCCATACAATTAGTGCTAAATCCGTGACTAGAACCCAGGTCTCCTGTTCATAGTCCAGTGGTGTTCCTATTATCTCAAAGCCTTGCCTTATCAAGAGAATCTTCAGGCTTTTGTCAATAAAAATAGGGAAGAGAAGCCGTGTTCTCGGGACTTAAGCAAAGGGAAATGAGATGCCAGTGTTTAACAATCTCTTAAACAAAGATTTTCTCTGTCTTTGCCTTTTCTCTTAGTTTCTTCTTTTGAGGAATACCATGAGGATTGATGATTTCTTCAAAATGAGATCTGCTACCTCTTCCAGGAGATAATCTATTTTTAAATAAATTAAATTTAGTTCAGTTAAACAAATCTGCACTTAGTGCCTACTATGCATGAAGGAATTTGTTTTATTTAGTATGGAATGATATTATTTTAGAGCTAGAAGGGAATTTGGATCCAAGTCCAGCCTCTCATTTTACAGATGAGGAAATTGAGGCTCAGAAGGGGGAAGTGACTTACCCAAAGACACTAGATAGTGACTGATCTGGGATTACAACCCTGGTTCTCTGAGCTCCAATTCAGTGCTCAATATACTCAAGAGTTTTTGAAAATAATATTCAATATATTTATGTGATACTTGGCTGGGTCTGAGATTTCTCTCCATTTTTTCCAACTTCTTCATTCCTAATATTCCAGCCAAGATTTTTGCTTTCATCTGAGAACATTTGATGGGGTTGACATCTGTGATTGGCGTGAGTATGTGCTTATTTCAGTCCTATTTGTTTCTCTAGGCAAAGGTCAGAGGAGCCCAGTGCCCACAAGAGAAGCTCAGCAGAAGTCTAGAACACTGAGAGATGAATCACAGTCTCAACGAACAGCATCACCTAAGCCAGCAACACCTCAGAGCAAAGTCAGCCACACACCTGCCACAACAGGGATACCAGTTCCAACTCCTCGGAGCAAAGTTCATGGTCCTGCGGGTCCACCTGCTTCACCTGTGCCTGGGCAGAGGTAAGACTCAAGCTCATAGCCACTGCCGACGTTCTCTCTGTGGTAGCCACATGCTTGGGTAAACCCAAGCTCAAATCTACTCCTTTCTTTACTGCCAAATTTTTCCTTCTGGAACTTAAATACACCCCTAAAAGATGGCGTTTAACAACAAACTGGAGGGGGTGGTGATAAATATACAGGACACACTTTAAAGTTTTATCTGCATTATTAAAATTTTCTCCACCACTTTCTAAAGTCTAGACAATCCATAAATTAATAAATCAAGCACTGGTTTGCAGCTGAGATGTGTATGCTCAACTGATAATGTATTGACTCCCATAAAGGAACCAGTTTGAGCTATCTCCTGCATATCGCTGCCTAGAGGTATATTGAAAATTACTAGTGTTTAACACATGATGTAAGGGTAGGATCTCAGCTCACTTTTTAAAAATGTGAAACTGTGACCTCTGATGATGTATAATTTCTTTTTTTAATGTATGTTAAATTTAGTATAATAGCATAAAAACTGCCCTGCTTATCTGTATTCCTTTCGGAACTTTTTTCTACATAGGTATACAGTCTAGGCTATATTTAAATTACTTTCAGGATAAACTGGTCCTTCTAATGATCCCCTACTTCAGAGCAGGTACCAAGCACAGCCACAGTACATAAGATGCCTGGGGGTGGGTGGAGAGAGTCACAGGTATATATACCATGACAATTGCCTTTCCTTATCATCTGCCTTCCCAACTGCCCCTGCAATTGGGGGAATAGGGGGTGAGGGTGGGACTCAGGGTGCATGATGAAGTCATTGTCTGGCAAAAGTCTTTGGAAAACAGGGCATTTCAGCTTGGGGAGGGGGAAGTAAAAATGACTGCATTGCTTTAGACTCACTGATATTTACATCGTTGTTTGTTTTTTTGTTTGTTTTATTTTTTGTTTTCGGACTGAATCTGTGATCTGATTGGTCTAGGGAATTTCCAGGGAGGAATCTTCCTCTAGTAATGAAGACTGCTCTTCTATTGTCGTCTTAGAGTTGTCTGGGGCCACTGAGAGTTTAAACCAACCAATCAACCGATCAATAAGCAAACATTTACTAAACTAGGCTTACTATGTGTCAGGCACTGTGCTAGACAAAAATTAAAATGTCCAGTCCTCCAAGGGATTCTGCTTACTCGGCATTATATGTCAGAGGCAGGATTTGGTGTCTGATTCTGAGGGCGTGTTGCTCTCATATTATGGACATTGCTTTTACCTCTTTTTTTCCCTCAAAGAACTTAATTCCTTTCCATGCCTTTGAGTCTTTGATACTTTCTAGCACATTTAACATTCTGGAATACTTTTACACCTATTATTTCATTTCACTTCTATTTGAAAATGTTACTCAAATTCCTACAGAAGTGACTCTACCTTTCCATATACATTTGTATACTTTAGCACCCCACCATTCACATCTGAAGATGATTCAGAAGGAGACCGTATTTCCCATCCAAATCTTCAAGTCCCTTCTAGGATGGTTGCTAGAGATGACAATGATTGGGATTGGTCTGATACTGAAACCTCTGATGAGAAAGTCCCTAAACCTACGGCAAGCTCTAGCGGAATAACTTCCACAGGTGAGTGAGCACTTTCTGTTTGATTGATGAGGTGCCTAAGACCCAGATTTATCTGGTTAATATAAATGCCTTTTAGTCTTCTCGTGTGTGTGTGTGTGTGTGTGTGTGTGTGTGTGTGGTGTGTGTAGATCTTTTTCTTTATATGATAATGGAGATAGAAACCAACGTTATTTTTTGATAGTTCCCTAGGTTAGCAGAGTGATCACAAAAATTAATTGGCATTTTATCCATTTATATGATACAGCTCAATTGCTTAATTAGCCATCAGAAATGCATTTAAAATTGGTTAGCCCTGTGTAGTTTTAGATTTTCCACCTGTTAAATCCTGGAATAACAGGATCTTCAAATGTTATCATTGTCCCCATGTATTTAAGGTGCTTCTGAAAAAAAATGGGTATGTAACCTGGCCTTAAAAATATCTAGAGAAGAAACACAACCTCCAAAAGTAATTTTTTTCCTGCTTTCTATCCCTTTCCTATGGAGGGAGAATTTTATATTCTTTCTCATGTCATTATTTATAATTGCTCTTGTTGGAAATAAGAGGGAACCTAGAAGAGTGCCTGGTCATACACTGTAACATTTGTATACTAGTCAGTAGGTCATCAGAGCAAGTAGATGGTGCAGTGGCTAGAGTGCCAAGCATAGAGACAGGAAGACTCATCTTTCTGAGCTCAAATCTGGCCTTAGACACTTACTAGCTGTGTGACCCTGGGCAAGTCACTTGGCACTCTTTGTCTCAGTTTCCTCCTCTGCAAAATGAGCTGGAGAAAGAAATGACAAACCACTCTACTATCTCGGCCAAGAAAACCCAAATGGGGTCATGAAGAGTTGGACGTTGACTGAAAAATGACTCAACAAGTGAGTCATCATAATCATTATCTATATTAACAAATATTTATTAAGCTTCTCTTATATGCAGAGTGAGAAGTAATGCAGAGTCATAAATAGAAACTTGGAGTAAGGAAAATCTGGATTTAAGTTCTACCTCAGATATAGAGTCGTGTGATCATCAATAAATCACTGGATTTTTCCATGCCCTAGGCAACTAACTCTGAGATATAATTGAAGAGGAGTTGCTGATCTGTATCAGTGGAGGGAATTTCCATACCAGCACAAAAGTAGACACAATAAATATTTGTTGATTGATTTTTCCACAAACATAAACTTTACTTCTCCATCCTCTTCCTAATTCTTTCTTCTTTCTCTTTACTCTTTCTTTTGATTTTTCTTCTTCATCTATTTCAAGTTTACATTTCTTGGACCAGGTGATTCAAACAGGAGAACATTTGCTTGCCAGCCTTTTGGTGCTGATCTAAGTCCTTTGACTCTTACTTAGGAACTCGAGTCCAGTCATTGGCTAAAACTCTAGAAAAACAGCTAGTTGCTCCTGGAAAGAAGCCTGCTGGAGGAGTGAATCTTTTCTTAGCCTCAGATGCTGGACCATATAAAACAACCATCTCAGTAAAGAAGCCCCAGGTAACATATACAGAGTTTAGTGTAAGCCACATACATTCCTTTGTAAGTTAGTCATTTACTTTTTAAGTTATGGTCACTCACAGAAACAATTGGAATGAGGACTCTTGAGTTTGAAGAAATTAAAAATGAAAAGGAGAGTTGGTTAGTTTTTCCTACCTGTTTCAGATCTTACTTTGGTGGCAAATGCCTCTTTAAATGAATGATCATAAGGCAATGTAAGTATCCACAGCAGGAAGAGAAAAAGAAACCCAGGCATAAAACTCATGAGTCCAAAGGAGATTTATGTAAGGATATTCTTTATAGCTGGTTGGAGATAGGAGTGAGGTACTGGGGGCTCCTAAATCTGCATGATGATGTGGTATTCCCCATATTAGGTGAGGCAACTCCAAAGATGGCTTCCCTGATGGCTTTCACTTTCTGCATAGGAAAAGTCCCAGGATGGCCAATGAGGGAAGTTGTTTTGCTAGACTATGCTTATTTGCGTATGGGTTTTTTTCCTCTTCATTTTGGAAGAGGGATAAAGAGAGGGGACAAAGAGAGAAAATAAATTTTTGTTAATTGAAATAAAATAAAAGCTTAAAGGATGGTGACTGTTGCAAAGAGAGATGTCTCTGTTTCCTAATCTACTTTTTGGTATCTTTATCTTCAATAACTGGTAGAGTAGAATGAGAATACAAGAGTGATTTATTCAAAGTTAGTTAACAAGGGAGATATGGATCAATCAATTGATCAATATTTATTAAGCACCTACTAGATGGTCTTGGGCAGCTAGGTAGCACAGTGCATAGAGTACCAATCCTGGAGTTAGGAAGCCCTGAGTTAAAAATCTGGCTTCAGACATTAGCTGTGTGATCCTAAGCAAGTCACTTAACGCTTTTGGCCTCAGTTTCCTCATCTGTAAAATGATCTGGAGAAGGAAATGGTAAGCCAATCCAGTGTCTTTGCCAAGAAAACCCCAAATGGAGTCACAAAGAATAGGACACAACTGAAATGTCAAAACAACAACAAATGGTCTTTGCTATGTGCCAGGTACTACAAAGCCATTTGGGTCTAGATGGACACTCATCAATAAAGTTATTATTGGGAAAAAAAGCAATGGAAGACTATCTAGTTTTAGGGATGAAAGCAAACGAATACTTGAGAGATTCATTCAAATTATCTGGCAAATGCTAGAAGAAATGGCCTTAGGTTGTTTACTCAAATAAAGAATCAAAGATCTTATAGAAGCGCTCATGTTTTTTTTTTCTTCCTTTTTGTTATGGGTAAGATATTTTTTACCTCTTTCTCAGTTTCCTCATATATAAAATGGAGGTAATAGTACTGTCCTATTGATCTCATTGGTTGTTGTGGAGAAAGTATGAATTATTAGTAGTAGCAGTTTGTTCATTTGTGTGATTTATTACATCTCAGAGCATTTGGCATTGAAACCTTTTGATATAGGTTGGATTTTTATGTGTCCCAAATCTAAGAAACTTAGTTCCAGTGATCACTTAGATCCAGTCATCTACTTATATTGAATTTTAAGGTTTGCAATTAGTTGTGTGACCCTGGACAAGTCACTTAGCCTGTCTCTGTTTCAATATCTTCATCTGTAAAATGAAAGTAATAATGGCATCTACTTCACAGGGTTCTTGTGTAGATTAAATAAAATAATATCATGTCAAATGTTTTGCAAACCTTGAAATTCAATATAAATGCTAGCTATTACAATTAACTATTATTTGCCAAGTAGGACATTTATTAGATATGCAAAGTATAATACAAGATTTCAGAAGCAGTTTCTAGAGTGAATGGCATCTGAAGGAAAGGAAGAATTGCTCCTTCCTTCTTAACCACTTTCTACCTAAATACTTTGACTTCAATTTAATCTACATGTAGTACATACCCTGACTACTTGTTTCCTCATTTATAAGATTGTTCATTCTTTCCTATTCTCACTCTAGTTTTCTGAAGATGACAGTGACTTAGATATTTCCTCACTGGAAGAGATTCTTCAGGATTTGGATCTGAATGAGAAGAAAAAACAGCCACAGCAACTGTCCCGGTCTCAACCAGTTGAGAAACATGGCAGAGTCTCCACAGATTCTCAGAGCACTAGTGCATGGAGTTCAAGTAGCACCAGGGTTGTGGGCTGGTGATTTGCATGGACATGACTCCCATCTTGTGGGGGAGACAGTGATATCCCAGTGAAACTTGCACAATGGCAACAAGGAGTGCCCACGTCACACATCATCTTACCCATTTTTGTTGGAATCTTTCTTTATGCATCACTTCCATTTCCATTCTAATCTGATCCAATAAACATTTTTTAAGCACCTATTATGTGTCAGGCCCTATGCTAAGCACTGAGGTTACAATTAATTAAAAGAAAGACAGCCCCTGCCCTCTAGGAGCTTACAATCTAATGAACTTTTTTTTTGCTGAATTCATTTCTGAATAGGTCCCTTCCTTCTCCCATCCTTAGCAAGCCCATTCCTTATAACAGATTAAAAAAGAAAGAAGAAAATAAAATTGAATAGAACCAATCAACATCATGTCTAAAAGCACATGTAACATTCCACACTTACAGTTCCTCTACCTATTCAAAGAAAGGAGGGAGGGGCATTTTCTCAAAATTATGTTCATGTTTTACTATGACTTCCCTTCTGGATGAAAAAAGTATAGAACAAGAGTGTTTAAAATGCATAGGGATGACTACCTTCTCCACAGTCCTATAGTACTTTCCATATATATGTATTCTGCCTGTAGGAGAATGCTTAGGCTATGTCCTCCTCAGACCATATGGCAGTGAATATATCAAGGGTATGTTAAAATCCTTTGTAAGCTCTCCAGCCCTTCTCTGTTCTTCTTACTGAACAAATCGGGATTGAAAGAGGGAAAAGCAAAAGAGAAGCCTTCTCTTCACCCTTTGTACCAACTGTGTGTATTGTGTATGTTGAAATTTTGTAGGGACGGTAGTGTCTTTGTTTTCATTCCTGCTCTCTTTCCAGCTTCCTTTCCTTTTGGAGAAGGAAAAACCCATTATTCAACTGATGTGATGGTATCATCCAACTTTACAAAATGCTAGCATCAGAGTTTAAAGTCTTCCTTTAAGTCAGGGGTGGGCAACCTGCAGCCTTGAGGCCACATGTGGTCCTCTAAGTCCTCAAGTGTGGACCTTTAACTGAATTTGGCTGTTACAGATTGATAAATCTCTCTTCTTGCCTATTCTAAAAGCCAGATGAGAGAGAGAGAGAGATTAAAGAAAGTAGTTGTGTGCCCTCCACTATGCATTCTAACATTTCTAGAGATTGCTGTGAAAGAGAATCTTTGATAAACTTTGTGTCTTAAAAGTGCCCATTATTATATTTTAAGTTCATAAATGTACTCATATCTGTTTTTTGAGCCCCTTCAAGAACTGGAACAACTAACAATAACATTTGAGTACTTTTTTTTTGTGGTGTTCTACCCTCCCCAAAATGCTTTCAAATACATTGTATTATTTTATTCTCTGTAAAGAGTTCTTAAAACTTCAGACTACTTGTAAAAGTTGAAGTTTTTATTATCACATCTTTGCAATCATCTAACAGTCTGCCTTATATTAGGCCAATATCACTTACTTGTCTCTAAAATGTGTGTTGGGATGTCCCAAGTCACTCTCAATTTGAGAAAGTTCTGAACTCAGTGATCAAATACTGATGTTTCAATGGATTGAATAATATAATGTCCTGAGATCCACCAGGACTGACATTTTGCCTATTTATGGGCAGCTAGGAGGTACAGTGGATAGAGCACTGGCCCAGGAGTTAGGAAGACTTATTTTCCTGAGTTCCAATGTGGCCTGAGATAGTAGTTGTGTGACCCTGCACAAGTCACTTAACCCTGTTTGCCTCTGTTTTGTCATCTGCAAAATGAGCTAGAGAAGGAAATGGCAAATCATTTCAGTATCTTTGCCAAGAAAACTCGAAATGGGGTCATGAAAAATTGGACACAACTGAAACATCCTAACTACAACAAAAGTCAGAATAACATTTCTTGTACTGCTGTTTTCAGAGATACTTGTAGGGACCTGTAAATTTTCAGTTCTTGCAAGGTGGTATGATAAGGGGTGAGGTGTTTACTCCTTTCCTGGCCTGTGACCACAAGTATTCCTTTCTGTCCTGTAACTGTGAGGAGGGGTTTCTCTCCACAGCCACTACAAACTCCACCACACCAGCGTTTCTCCTCACCCTAGCACCACCACCCCAGAACTGTGACCCAGATCCAAACACAGGCAAAGCAAGAGATTCCTGCCTCCCCACTGGCAAAAAGATGCCTCCAATCTGTCTCTTATCAGCCACTGGATTCCCCCTCAGTCTGTGGGCCGGAAGCTCGGGAAGCAGCTGCCCCTCCCTCCCCACCCACACTCTTGGGGAATGAAGCTGAGACCCCGCCTTCCTGTCTCATCACGACAGAAACAGACATTTCCCATTGACCTTCTAAGTTGTCTTTGGCGTTAGTGGGTTGAGGAGTCTGGAAACCTCCACAGCTGCCTGAGATTCAGTCCTCTGAGGCCTGCTCCAGGTTCGCTGCGGCCTGCGAGCTCATGCCGCGCTGCGCTGCACTCCCAGCCCGGCGCAATACACCTTTCTGATCGATCATCCAGGTTGTCTTGGGCTGGAAATTTGTTTCACTCTGTCTTTTTGTGGGTTCTGCTGCTTCAGAATTTGTTTACAGCCATTTTTTATGAGTATTTGGAGGGGTTTGGATGAGAGCTCAAGCAAGTCACTGCTTTCACTCCACCATCTTGGCTCCGCCCCCCAGAATAACATTTCTTAAAAACAGGGTCCAAATCACTAGCTCGTACTTACTATAGTTAGTTTTGATTCCATAGGCAGGAAGAAAATTATACAAAGAATTATCCATATTTTGGGATTATATTTACAAAACATTAACATACTTGATTGAATTTTTAAATTTTTCTTCAGATATTTTGCATCATACAGGTATGTAATTTACATATTTCTCTTTCCCCACCAAAGTTTCAAGATATTTTATTAAACGATTAAAAAGAAATTCTTTAGGAGTTAGGAGACATGAGTTTTCGTTTTGACTCTCTGACACTATCTAACTGTGCAACCATCATTAAAGTCAGTTAATTCTTTTCCTTTTCTGTAAAATGGGGAGGCATCCTCACCTATGACAGCCATTTTGGCACTTGGGGAGTTCTCAAAAAAGAGTCGGGTGGGCCAGGAATGATAAAAGCAATAGGACTTTATTACAGGAACATTTTAAACTCACACATTGCAAGGCTGAAGGCCTAACTAGAGGCCCTCCTATGGTTGGTGGGGGTAACAGAAAAATGATTGGGGAAGTCACTGGAAGTTTGGATTTTATTGTTTTCAAACCAAAGCAGGTGGAGGAAGGATTATTGTTGCTACCATCCTCTGGACTTGACACAACCAGGTTTGCCAAGCTGTTGTCACTAATCCTAGTTGATGAGTGGGGTACTTGGATTCTACATTATCATGAAGCCAGGTAAGTTTATTGACATAGGTCAAGACAATGAGTTTTATAGGGTGGAATGGGTTTTTGCTCAGGAGCATGTGATTGGCTTCTGATGTCAAAGATAGGGAGACAGCAGCAGGGGCTAATGTTAAAGCCCTAGATGTTCAGTCATGGGGCATGGATGTTTCCAAGTATAGAAGATGCTACACTATCATAAAGACACTCTTGCTGGGACTCACAGGGGATAGAGTCCTGAACCATTTTCTGTTCTGTACCTAGCTATTGATTGTGGTTTATGAACTAAGGTCAGTGCTAGAGAATTCTAACCTCTAATTCAGGCCTGCACAACCTGCAGTCCCCCAAAGGATTTTGAGCAGTTCACAAAAAATCTAGAGGACGGCATCCTTTACATTTTTCACGGGCCACTGGAAATGCTTTGGTGTGCCCGTGTTTTCAGAAGAAGCCCTGGGCCACACATTGGGCAGATCTGCTCTGATTAGTAGAATTAGGTTCTCCATTCTCACATCCCTTAATGTGAGAATTCCTTAATTCCTTGGTTCCTTAATAACCACACACCATGGTGTCCTCGGGATGATGCCTGAATTTCCTCAAAATGGAAAGGAAGTAAAATATAATCAATACATAAACATGAATGAAGTATGGGACTGGTAGTTTATTCCTACCCATGAAAAGGAATGCTAAGTATAGGAGAAGCACAGTGCTCAGCATCAGAATAATTAGAAGAGAATTTAGTAATTTATAACCGTGATTACAAAATGGTTACAATTTTGGTGATCTCTCTGATGCAGATGCTTCTTCTGTCACCATCCACTTCTTTATCATCCACTGCAACTATAAGAATACTATAGACATTACTTTGCTTCTGAGGACCTTCAGACTTTTTGATACATACTAGGTCTCTCAGAGTCCTGGGTATGGAGTACCCAGCATGGGATACTCATTTACCTAAGACTGGGAAAGAACTAAAAGAGAGAAGGAGCTATATCATATGGAAGTTGAGTAGGAGACAGGAAAATTGCCCCTTCCTCCACATAACTCCTGAGTGATAGCCTTAAAATAGTCCTCATCCTTTACATGCCCAAAGGAAGAGAGAAAAATGGTAGCTGCTTTTCTATATCCACTGAGTCATCAGCTCTTCCAGCTCAGTATCCAATTGTCTAAATCCCATCAAAAGTACAAGCCTCTCAGGCATGGATATACATGCTTGGAGAACACCCACCTCTCCCTTCAAGCTTCCATATAGTCATCAGGAATGACGACTCCATTTCCAAAAAGGGAGGGATGTACCCTGTTACATTAGTATGGAAGATTCTAGTAAAGGGTAGGCTGGCTAGATAGAAGGAGGTTGTTGAGGCTAAATTAAAGAAAGCTTGTTTCAAAAGAGGCTAGGCCCTTAAAATCATAGCACTCTGGGTTCCAGAAAGTTAGAATGGAATAAATTCAACAAATTGCCTACTCTGCTCAAAGACTAGATGACATTTAAGGTCCCTTCTGGCTCTAAAATTTTATGATTCAATGTACAAAGAAAACAAATTATCTATTCTCTTCATATGAAATCAGTGTAGAAAGGTCAGAGAGAGAGTAAAAAGTAAAACCCCTCAGTGGGAGCCCACGAGCTACAGTTTGGAGACATTTCTGACTCACAAAATACTTAAAATGGGTGGTTATTCATTGGTCCTGCCCCTGTAAAACTCTATCAGTAACATCTTTCCTTAATATACGTGGGGTGCCATTTACTGCTATTTTTTTAACTTTAGGCTTACAGATTCAATGGCTTCAGTAGTAACTCACTGTTAGAAGAAACGAATTACAGTTTAGGTGGTATTAATTCA